ATTTATTCATTCCACCAGTAGAATTATAAAAAGTATCTAAACAATACAGATAGAAAGGCACTACTTTATCGTAAGTTAAAGGATATCTCCATCTCACAAGTTCCTCGGCACTCCTTACTGTATACACTTTAAAATCTGCAATTCTAACTCTCGTCCGTGTGTTTAAGAAATTAAACGGTAAATGCTCTAAGAATAAATTTAACAGAAAAATCTTGAAGGGATTACTTTCTGGGCGTAAACTATTTAGTTTATAGTTATCCGCCGTATCTTCCTGGCATGTAAGAAGGTTTCCTATAGTACTAAAGCTCCACCAATTTTTCACTTTTTTCCAGACGAAAAAATCAAGAGTGTAGTTCCGGTAGGAGGCTTTCCAGCCATCCATATAAAATCCTTTATGTGAGTTAACAACTGCGGCAGCTTGTATTACTTTCTTACGGTCTGATTCCAAATAACTAAAGTCGGCATCATGATCCCAGGGAATGACGTCACAGTATCTATACGCACCTAAAACTGTTCCGTAATCAACCCAATACGTCACGTTGTACTTTTCTAATGCACGTGACACAGTTTTTATCAAAACTCTCAAACTTTCACTTTTGTGTGGAGAAATATCACACGGCTGTAAACGTTTTTTATTTAGATTGATATAAATAAATACTAGTGTCCCAAGACAAATTATCAAAATTATATTAAACGATCGTTTCAAACGGCAGCAACTTTTATCACTCATTTTGGAAAAAAATATAGTTTTTTTAGCCAATATATTTTCGCAGATATATTTTTTGAGTTTCTACGTACTGATTTTGAAATACTTTCCAATATTTTTTACCGCCTACAAAATTTATTTCGCACAAATTATTTATTGTCAAACTTGCTCTTTACATCGTCAAACTTGCTCTTTACATATATATTTCACGTACAACACTGATATTGGTTAAAATGTCAAGTCAACTCCCAACTGCTATTTTATGTATTATTTTAATGTTTGAAATTATTTCTGTCCAATATAATTCCAGTATTTCAAATTAATCTTAACACTTATATATCGGCTTTTTTAATCGCCGCTCTTGGCCAATTCAATTTGGTAATGATCTCCTATATATACATCAATCAGTACTTGGTCACACGTATTCATATATTATTAAAATTTATACGTTCTTGTTAAAACGTAACACCGACGTGTTATTTTCTGTTTTGTTTACGTTATTTGAAAATTAGTATTAAGATCTTATTGTTACAATTTAATACTTACATAATACTATCATATCAGCTTAATAAATAACTGATAAGTTGAACAATTTAGCTAGAAGTTACAATAAGCCAATTAATGGATTTACCTTCGTAAAGTTTGATAGATATATACATTTTCACCAAAGTGGATTGAAAAATGATCATTCTTATTCTTATATCATAGTATCAAAAATGGTTGCTGAAGTTATGTCAATATTGACTGTTCATTTCCGTTGCTAAATGATATGTTTGGCTAACAAAACGGGTTGCAAAATATTATTTCCAATCGTATATAATTATGAACAAATATTGGTTTCAATAAATATGTTTGAAAAATTGATCTAGATAACAATATTTCATGAATTTATTAATTTAAGAATTAAGTTTAACGTTTAAGATTCAAAAATACTTACGAACAAATTACATGTAGTTCTATAAAAACAAAAAAGGTGAACCAGAGCTAAATTAATGTAATAATTTGAGGACATTCACTTATTTTGTCTTGGTCAATATCTATCGCTTGTTTCCACATTCCTCGGTTAATAGAAAATCAACTCGGGTGTAAGATAAAGAGTTGAAGGGCTTTGTTGTTTTATATTAAATACGAAATAGGGGGAGTACTTTCATTTCTTTAATGGAACAGTCGTGTATACCAACCCATAACTGCCTACTCTCAAAACTACAGTCATTACCGTTGTAAGTATACGAGTATTTTCGTGAGACTATCCTTCATCAATCTTAAATAAATGTTATTTGGATTATTTGTTCAGAATGCTATACAGGTCTGACATGAAGACTTAAAGGCACACAATGGCTCTGAAAGCCATATCTTTTAATTCTTTAGGAATGTCAAAGATAATTATATTAAATTATGTTTTGATAATTGATTTAGAGCATATAAGATGTTAAACAACTGAAAAAAAATACGCTGAATGCGCAGTTAAATATCGTAAAGGTAGCAAAATGTATACAAAGTAGTATTTTGACTTCCACACGAAATTGTCACTCACTATGATAATACCAATTACCAAAAGAGCAAAATAAGTTAAAGATATTTCATCTATGTGGCACGTGGAGTTTTTTGTTTTTGTTTTTTTTTTGAAAACTGTAACAAGATTTTGAGAGCATTGCTGAGACAAAATGGGCCTTTAATAATGCATTAAGTAACCCTAGGTATTAGATATGATGATATGATCGAGTAGTTATGAGAGCTTTCAAGTGAAATGTTTATACTTAGCAAACTGTATTATCCGCGAAACCTTAAATCAATGTTGCATATTGTGATGAGAATAAGACGATTTTAATAATGATAACCACAGTGCCTTTTATATGCGTAGGGCTGGAAACCAATGGGTAAAGTCGGTTCAGGATTTATTTTTCAATAACCCTTTTTTAAAATTCCATTATTTTAATAGATCAGTGTAGAACCCGTTCATTCAAGTGAGTAACTTTACATAAAGTGAAGAGCCAAATGAATCAGCGTGAACTTCGGATAGTCCAACACGCGGTTTCACTTTAAGAAAAGTACTGATATTTGCCCCTTCCGACACCGCCCCCCCCCCCCCCCCCTTATGAAAGAAAGTGTTAATATAAAATCTAATCGACTTATTTCCCACGCAGATCACAAAATATCACTATGTAAAGGCACCGTACCTGACACATGTACATCATGTTACAAATTTCCTTGGTTTTGATAATCAAACAGTCATTATTTATTATCTTTGAGCATTGAGTTATCAATGCAATAAAATTGAAATAAAAGCATAAAAATTTTCCCCAAAAATACGTTAGACTATCGTGCCATTTAATTATATTCTGCTTTGCGTACCAAAAAATTAACACATCTCTTTCATGAAATTTAATGTTTTGTTTCGATTGCTGAGGATGTATGTAATACAACCCTTATACAAATGTATATTTATATTTACATTCATCCAGATCATGTTGCATTTACATTTTTCTTTCATTTTTTAAAAAAGTTATCGGACATTTTCTCCAAAATAGTTTTCATAACACTATTTCTTGTGTTGTTTTTTTTAATTTAACTGACTCATAAATTGGTCTCTTTATTAAAGCTTTATGCCTCCAGATGAGTCAAAATATTTCAATAATATCAAACTTGAGAAAAATGTACTAAGATGTAATGAAAAGAAAAAAAATCAAGATTCAAGTAATATTTTACATATTATGTGCGATTTAATGATTGATTTTTCAGTTTTTAAAATTATTTTTCTACTGCGTTACTAACAATAAACAATACAATAAAGGCTATTTATGCATATTTTGACCACTGTTTGGTAATTTACGTGGTTTGTAATCGCCGTTGATAATGTGTTAATTGCTTCCTTTTGGTTACTTCACAATAGTACACATTCAAATACATTTTCAGGATTTTCATAAAAATTAGCATGAATCTGGAGGCGTGCACGGTGGCCTATCACGTGGTTAGTTACGCCATGTCTGATCAAAGCGGCAATGGTGAGGGCTCAGCTATACCTGGTGCTAGTCCCTATACCGATATTGTTTCCACGTTATAACACTTAAGTATCTAACCATTGCAGATTTCCTTTCGCACCCAACAGTATTTCAGAATATTTCAAGCCCTATATTCAAGTGTTTAGAAACAAAATTAATACAGCCTGATGAACACTAAGCACTTTAGTAATGTAAAAACATTAAAGATTCAAGTAATAATTGACATGTGTTATGTGGTTAACGACTGATTTTGTCAATACATGTATTATGACTCCATTTCTACTGCGTTACTAACGCAGTAAGAGCAATTTTTTGCACATTTTAACCTCATTTTAGTAATTTACATGTGTTGTAAGTGAAATTAATTAGGTGTAAATTGCTTCCTTTTGGTCACTGTACACATTATTATAAGTTTACACATATTTAAAAAAAAATCATGAAAATTAGCATAGATCTGGAGGCGTGCTGCTTTAAAGGAACTCCACTGAGGTCCAAAAACATAAAATCTCGGTTTGATAAAAACCTTAAATTTCATTTTATTTATTACATAGATCACCAGGGGAACTTAAAACAGAAATACATGTATATGCAAAAGATAATTACGAAATATACTTAGATTAAATTGAAAATCGTGTTAAATTGTGCTATTCTTTGTCTGATTTGAGTGAAAAGCGTTGGATCATTTTGCACAATAAAATATTTTTCTAGAAAAACAGAGAGATTGAACGATCTGAAATTTCGCACACAATTTATTGGTCTAGTCCTGTATCAAATGGAACATTAATTTAAAAAAAAAATAATTTCCAGTTCCGACATGTTAAAAAGGCTTAATTATAAAAAAATTATTATTTAAAAAAATCCCTATAAAAGTGTTTTATAGGATTTTTTTAATCGTTATTTTTGTTATGTTTTGTTCTGTGAATGAATCAAATACATGATCATCTTTATCATCGCCATCGGCGTCGACGTCATCATCATATATCATTACCACCACCACAACCACCACAACTTATTTCATGAATATTGTTTTACTTAAATAAGAATCATATTAATTGATTTACTAGCTGTATGTGATATACTAAATAAAATGCTATTAAATTTCACATTGTTTATTTTCCTTTTTTACACGTTACCAACTGATCAACAGCATAATCTATCCCTATATAATCTATATTGTCTGCAAAATCTAAAGCCCTTCTTTATTTAACGTATCTACAGTATGTTTAACTTGTCTGCAAAGTTGTCTGCAAAGTATACCGTCCCATAATAAATTGACAAATTATACGAGATTTAATTTACATAAGCACCGTTTACAACCGCGGCAGCTACAAATTTCTGCAAAGTTACGATTATTTTGCGATTGTACTCTATTTTAGGCCTGACATCTTTGTAGGAAGAAGTATTTTGAAGGTATATGAAGTATGACAATGGATAATGCAATGAACTGAATTTGGCTAGTCGGACGTAGATATTTTTTTCTTGGGATGGACTTGAATAGTTCTCGGATATGACATGTATTTAAATTGGCAGAAAATGTTAACAAAAACTGTTAATATCACGTCAAGTGTCATCAATTTGCTAGGAAAGAACGATGTTAGCTTTCACGAACTTTTGTTATAACGTGTCAACTTTTTTTTAAATACCTACTAGATTCTATTAAACATTAATTAGAGTATTTCAATTTTCACTTTTATCAAAAAGTTTACAGATGAATTACCTATATCTAATTACCTTTACCAATAGACAGTCAGTAAGACAACACATCAGAAGCTGCGGATTTTAGTAATATGATAGTAGGCAAAGCCTATTAACGGGAAAGTCAGATAAATAAAATTTTGTTCATTTTTTATTTTACATTTTTTGTTTTAAGTGTCATTCAATTTTATGCACTGCTTTCAGTCTTAATCAGAACACCTCGGCAATTATTGTTACCTTATTATTAAGCCAAAAAGTTGTGATTGGTCTATAAATTAATGCGAATACCTTGCTATTATTGTGTTACATTAAAAATGGTGGTGCCCAACAAGGAATGATACTGAAAATTCCACCAATAGGTATAGAATTCTGTATATTTTTTGGAAGTGGCTAGCCGTACGGGCCCGTACGGCTAGCCAAAAGTTCTAGCCGTACGTGAGTCACGTACGACTAGCCAGGGCACACTGTATTGTCTAGCCGTACGGCACTTTTCAAATTTATATAGAAGTCGAAATTATACATATATGTTTTTCATGACTTTAAGCGAGGATTTTAACCATGAAATAGTAATTGTCTTCGTATATTTACTTTAAATAGAGATTAATCGCCTTGTTGGCTACAGTAAAAGAAGTACGAATATCGATCTTTATCATTTCAAGACATCGAGAAAAAATAGCGTTAGGTCGCAGTTAAATAACATCAATTGAAATAGTTTACAAAATTTTGATAATAATCCTTTTTTGTTTCATAAAGTTTAATTTTCGACACCTATAAAATGAAAAAAAAAATCAATGTTAGGCTCTGATATTTGCGTCAATTACCGACGGTATAGAAGTTTGTCCATCATTATGGAAAGTTTGCATGTTCCGTGAAACGCATTTTAAAATTCTATTGTCAGTTCCTGGGTAGGCTTTATTTAAGGCTTATTAATTGTTTGTGCCTTTATGTTCGATATTTATCTACTGTATTTGAAAATTATACAATTATTTTTGCTTTTCACCGTTTTTTCTCTCAATGTTCTATGTATTTATTTATTTATTTCACTCCGATCATTATTTATTCGATCCATGTGCTTAATTAACAAAAAAAAACACGTTTCAGTCAAATAAAACAACAAATCATAATCATGAGGCACAAAATAACATATGCATGGTCGACTTCTATATAATTTTGAAAAGTGCCGTACGGCTAGACAATACAGCGAGTCCTGGCTAGTCGTACGTGACTCACGTACGGCTAGAACTTTTGGCTAGCCGTACGGGCCCGTACGGCTAGCCACTTCCATATTTTTTTTTCTTATTTGATTTCCCAGCAATTTTTTTGTTTGGAATTTGAGAAATTATAAAACGACCAAAATTTAATATTTGCCCTACTATTACCCACATTCATAGCCAAAATTTTTGTTTGAGCAAACTTCAAATAGTTCCTTTGAGTCTTTAAGCTTTGACTCATATGTAGGTTAAAACTAGGATTCTGATTGGCAAAGGGGCAGCTGAGGATGTTAAGACTTGTCAGGTCATTTTCATCTTATCACCAGGGACCAAAATAAGGCTCATTCTCAATTCAAAATAGTCTCTGAATATTTTCACTTAATCCCTTGAGTAAAAAGTAGATAATTGAGCCTGTTTTTTGCAGTTAAAATTGTACCATATACATCAGTTTTCTTGGGTCCCCACTTATTTACTATACCCTTTAAGATATGCTTTGAAACTTAGTATACTTGTTAGTGACCACCATTCCCACTTCTAAACAAGAGGACATAAAATTCTGTCATTGATTTTGACAAAATTATGCAATTTGGTTATTGCTCCCACATATGGAACTGGTAAAGATCTAAGAAATCTTAGAAATAAAATAAAATTTTGGTTGCATTAAGTTGAAACTAATATAAGATATTTGTGTATTTATATCAGGTTGTACAAATGCATGGCAGGCAAGTCTTTGCTGCACCAGTTTGGCTGGCGTCGACGTGAATATAAAGTAGAGAAAGTTGCAGCTAATTTTGCTGCACAGTCTGTAGTGATGGAAGGCAGTTTCAGAAAACAAGGGAGTTCTGGTAAATATGACTAACATTGCCGGATTAATCAGCGTACACATTCTGTATATACTAGTATTACTACCTTTCAAGTTTGATACTGGTATACAGTAAATAGCCTGGGTTACTGAGGATGTAAATAAATAAGGATGAGCAAAGAGTTCTGTTCAAATTGCAGATTAAAGAAGATAAAAAGTTTAATGTATACTTGTACTTTTGCAATGTAATGTATACAAGCAAATGTTAAAGAAAGTATAAACACCATGGTCATCTGCTAAGATCGGAAAAACAAATTTCAAGGGAAAAAGTTCTTTTCTTGCATGTTTCACATATTTGTTCAGGACACTCATTTCACTATTTATTTAACTGAAATTGGTCCCCATTTCCCTCTCATTTTTTTTTTGCTCTATTTTTTAAAAATATTCCCATAAAATATTTTTATTAATTTTTTCCTATTTAAAGTAGACCTCAATTAAAACAATTTCTTATTGAAAACTGCTTTTTGCATATTTATATATGCAATACTGAACATTATTAGAGTTGTTTTTGACAGACATAATCCCCATTATCTTCAAAGCGCTACATTCATCTGTTAGAGGGCCCCTAGCTCCATTCTCCTAAAACGTAATAAGGGCCCCGATCAGTTTTTCCCTGCTATGTTGGTCATAGTTTTAATTTAAAATTGATAGATAATGAGCCACCATCAAAGAAAAGGAAGACTGAGGATGAATTTGAAGGAGATGAACTATGGGATGACAGTATGGAATTTACCCAAGCTGACCTTGATGATATAGAATTGCAAGCTTCACAGGTAAGACTATTTAATTAATGTTCACAGCTATATAGAAATGCAAGCTTCACAGGTAGGACTGTTAATGTTCACAACTACAGTAGAACTTCGGTAAGTCGAAGTTGAAGGGACTTGCATAAAAACTTTGACACTTCGGGACTTCGACTCATGAATCGGTCTCAATTTTGTAACAAAATTTCGACCTGTTGCCGTATACAAGTTAGTTACAAAAGGCATAACAATAGGAAAGGGTGATAACTTAACCAGCTTTTAGTAAATATTTCGCGTGTGATTATCCTTAGACACTGGGTCACGGAAGTTCTCAAATGAAAGTACATGTAGTTCTTACTGTTTACTTTCAATAACCACTACGTCTATTTGAATGGTAACAATTAAAGCATTTTATCACACATTTAAACGCATACAAAGGCTGTTTGAAGACACGGCTGTATAATTAACACTTGTCACCCAAGTTGATTGGAAATTGTCTTTCACGGCCAGATAAGGTGTGAAAATTATCTCGAGATCGAAGATGTCAAAAAAAATCAAAGGACTTTGACTTGTTTGTGGTAAATTGTACTCGATTTATTCTATATGGACCATGAAAAAATTTCGACTCATCGAAAAATTCGACACATGAAATTTCGACTTATTAATAGGTTTTTATAAGGAATATATAGGGAAAAAAATCGGGACTTTCATTTTACTTCAACATATTGAGAATATCAAGTAATCGAAGTTCGACTCATTGAAGTTCTACTGTATATAGAAATGCAAGCTTCACAGGTAGGACTGTTAATGTTCACAACTATATAGAAATGCAAGCTTCACAGGTAGGACTGTTAATGTTCACAGCTATATAGAAATGAAAAAGTTATAGCTATTCACAAAAATTCATCAATAGAGGTATTTGTTACAGTCAAAATCTGTGAAATGATTGTTATATGCCATTATATGCCAGTATATTAGAGCATTGGAAATAATCATCTTTATAAAAATAAATCAACTTCATATCCCTTCCTTTTCAGGCCATCACACACACAAAACCTGAAGCCATTGGTTCCATGCATGAGTCTTCTCATGAGGCTAGACAACCTCACCAACCAGCAGGAACTTTCCTCAAGCCTCAACTGTCCCGTTCGTCGTCGTCCTCTGCCTCGTCCAGTATGAACGGAGGAAATCCTTCTGTTCATAATGTCTCGGGCAATTCAGTACACAATAGTTCACATGGCTCGTCTCATAGCAACAGTCTGTCTCGTTCCAGTCATTCGTCATATCCTGGTTCACTTACTGGATACTCCAGCACAAGTTCCTCTAGTGTAAAGTCAGGTATGAATTATAAATATACTGTTTCAGACTGTCTCTGTTGAGCTAGGTGTTGTTATGGGGTTATGTTCAGTGAACTCCCTCAGGCTTGGAACCAGATGACCTACTTCCTCCACACAGTGGTACCCTGCACTTCCTCCTGGTTACCTTCATGCATGGAGCTGAATTGATGTACAAACTATACAAAATGATAAACACAATGTTATTATCTTAATGGGGAACAAAGCAAAATATTGTATAGAAAGTTTTTATTTCTGTGGCCTTATATTCTGTAACTTATGTTAAAAAAGGGGTGGGGGGGGGCTTACATTGCGAAACTTGCTGCAGATATAAGGTATGCAAAATTTTTTTAGTATGAAGGGAACAAGGAGGTATAGAAGGAAATAGGTCATCTGGTTTCCATATTGTTGGATCTGGTTACAGAACTTAATATTTAGCTTGCAGGAAGTGTGAGTGAGTAAGGTATTGTGGGTTTGCTGAACGCTTCAGTAACTAGCGCCACCTTGTGTAATGTTGACAGTTCTGTTTGAAAGGGATTAAGATAACAACAGCTAATCGAAGTCGCACACATAAAAAAATTCTAGTTCTACTGTATTTATATTTAAAGTAAATATTCATGTATGTATTCATAATTTTATTTTCTCAACAATTTTTCTTCAGACATTGCTCTTCAATATATAATTTGATCAACAATTTAGTAAAACAAGTCGGTATAGATTGATATAATTCTTTGTAAATAATATCCTAAATTATGCTTTATTTGTTGATACTACATGTATAAATCTGGTTAAACTTTAATTTTAGGTTCATCAATAGAACATACTCGAGGCCATTTATCAGGATCTTTGTCAAGGCTCAGTTCTGGTTCCCTTGATATTACAGGAAGTATGTTAAGTGGAAACCAGTCAAGTGTTATAGAAATAAACAAGATGAAACAAGAATGTGCGGCCCTCAAACTTCAGGTAACATTGATATTGGCATCAATTTTTTATGCTCTCCGAAAAATATAGGATGCATGATAATAACTGTTCCATTTCATCCTTATATAGTTTTGTGGCACTTTCCCACAGTTTCTCATAGCAAACTTTGTTATTAACAACTCAGGTATCATCGGTTCAAGCCCAAATCAGGTTACAACCATGTTTCTTCATATGACATTGGCACTGGTTGGTTCCTGGAAGCAAACTTGAAACTGTTTAATATAAGTTGCAAGAACTTGTTTCGCAATTAAGCTTAAATAACTCTTTGAGAATCAACCATGAGATTATGGAAACTGTAATTTTATTGTGAATATTAAAACATTTCATTAAATATAGATCTATACCTTTTAAGCCATACATGTATGTCTGGTTTAGTATGACGTCCCCATATAGTTGCAGACAGCATGTGTTTGGTACATTAGCTAACAGTAATTCACTCTGTTTTAGCTAATTGTAAGTTTGTCTTATCTCAGGTAGAGAAGATGAAAGAAGAAGTTTGTGTTAAAGAAGGTGAGAATAAATTACTGCGAGATAACCTCACTAAGAGAGATACAGAACTGGATACTTTAAAAACTGAGAAAATCAGCCAAATACATCAACAGAATGTTCAACAGACTGAGAAAGAAAAGTCTATGCAGGTTTTGTATTTATTTAACATTTCGTTTACAAAATTATTCATTTGATCAGATACCTTATTTTGTAGCCCTTTTATCAGACCTCCTTGTTTGCCTATTTAGTTCAAACTGATTTGACTAAGAACAAGTAAAAAGTTCAGAAAAATGAGAAAATTCAGTTAATGTTTGCTTTTAAAAAAAACAACAACAAGGATATCAATAGTTTTCAGAATAATGGTGCTTTACAGTGTTTTGTATGTTAACTCTCTGCTGCACAGATTTTGTATATCAAAGAAATAGCAAATGGTCTTTGTGGCAGAGAAAATACTGTAGCTTAATTCAAATTACTTTTGTTTGGTTCTCTTTTATAAATCAAATATACAGGTAGCTTATTATGAAAGAGCTTTACCTGAAACAAATGATTTGTTTGTTAACTCAAATATTTGAAGAATAGGGAGAGCCACCCAATTGTCTGTGTTAGCATTCCCCCCAAAAAAAGTTAACGTTAAGCGTTAACGTCGCGTTCTGTTTAGCGTATAGTTAAACGGACATTGCGTCATTTGTTATTTTATTAACGTCAATTTTTTCTGAAGAAGACTAAACGTCTAAAGCTTAAGAAAAGTGTTTGTTTTTATTGAACTGATTATATATTAGCGTTCCCAACACACTTTGATTAAGTTTTTGCTTGCAAGTTGGTATCTTTAAAACTACTGAAAGCACTATTTTGTTTTCTGTGATTACCTTATATGATGGGCACAGTTCACTTAACTTGGAGTTACCTTTTTACATAGTTATGCCACTTTTCTTACTGTCAAGCACTGAGAATACATGTAGTTGAGTGTGCTGTCTTATGGGCAGCTCTTTTTTCCTGTCTATATTCAGATACAGCCTTAAAGTTTGGTAAAGTGAATTTGTTCTATTAGCTTTGTCTTTCAAGATCTAACAGAGGTTTTGGGACATGTTTGTCTTGGATGATTTTGTGTGGAGACAAAATTGTTTAACTTATTTGTTCTGATCAATTTAGATTGGGAGAAAATTGGAAAAACAACTTGAAAAACAGATGGTTTATGTACTAGTCAATGGTAACTTCAAACTGCCACCCTGGGGCAGTTCAGGGTAAAGTAAGGGTTTTAGCTTCTGCCTATCCCTGCCATGAAGGGACAATGCAGTGTTGATTTTTTGCACAAATAACAGAAAGTCCTTCTGACTCAATTTAAGGTAAGTCAAAGTCTGTTAATCCCCATGGTATCGAGGGCCAGGATTACAATGGACTGGTACATTACAGTTCGGAGTGCATCAACATTTGGGAATGCACTTTCAATTTGTGATTCCTGTATATATTTCAGACGGAGCTCACACGGCTTCAGACACAACTTCAGTTTAAGGAGCAGGAGGAAAGAGGACTGTCAGACAGGGTGAGAGAGTTAGAGTCTCAATTGAGAGGTTTGCAAGCAGCTGGACCTTCTACCTCACAGGTACATAACAAAGATGATATTTTCAACTGCCTGTCACGTGTTTGTTTGTGTGCTGATTTTGGAAGTTATCCTACTAATTTGTTGTAAGGATTTTTTTTTTTAGCTCACCTGAGCAATGCTCAGGGTGAGCTATTGTAATGGCCCTGTGTTCGTCGTGCGTCGTCAACTTTTTAACATTAACAACATCTCCTCTGAAACCAATGACTGCACATCAACCAAACTTTACAGAAATGATCCTTGGTGGTTCCCCTTTCAAAGTTGTTCAAATGGTTCCGGTCCTGTTGCATATGTTAGGTCATAGGGCCAGAAAAGGATTTCAAAAAACACAAATTAAAAAATCTTCTTGTCTGAAAGTACAAGGGCCAGAGCTTTGATTTTTGGTATATGGTATCATCTATGGTCCTCTACCAAAGTTGTTCAAATTTGTCCCTAGTGTCAAATTTTGGCCCTGCCCGGGGGGTTCATAGGATTTTCCTTATATGTATATAGTAAATTCTAAAAAAGTCTTCTTCTCTGATTTGGCAAAAGGTTACAGATTTAGATATTTGGCATGAAACATTGAGTAGTAGACCTCTATCAAGATTTTTCAAAAATAAGGCCCTAGGGTCAAAATTGGCCCCGCCCCGGGGGGGGTCATTGATTTTTCATTACATACATATAGTGAAACTTGAAAAAATCTTTGGTCTGAAAGTAAATGCCCTAGAAGAGCTTTGATATTTGGTCTTATCATATATATATATCATCTGAAGGTCCAATACAAAATTTGTACAAAATTTTGTCCCTAGTGTCAAAAAATTTGCCCCTGCCCCGGGGGGGGGGGGGGGGGGGCATAGGTTTTAAGCTCACCTGTCACAAAGTGACAGGGTGAGCTTTGTGATCGCTTTTTCGTCCGGCGTCTGTCCATCCGTCGTCCGTCCGTAAACTTTTGCTTTAAATGACATCTCCTCATAAACCACTGAGCCAATTTTATCCAAACTTCACAGGAATGTTCCTTTGGTGGTCACCTTTAAAAATTGTTCAAAGAATTTAATTCCATGCAGAACTCTGGTTGCCATGGCAACCGAAAGAAAAATCTTTAAATATCTTCTTTTAAACAACCCTAAGAGCTAGAGCTTAGATATTTGGCATGAAACATCTTCTAGTGAGTGTCTACCAAGTTTGTTCAAATAAAAGCCCTGGGGTCAAAATTGACCCCGCCCCAGGGGGTCATTGATTTTCCCTATATGCATATAGTAAAAACTTAAAAAATCTTCTTTTAAAGAACCCAAAGAGCTAGAGCTAAGATATTAAGCATGAAACATCTTCTAGTGAGTGTCTACCAAGTTTGTTCAAATTAAAGCCCTGGGGTCAAAATTGGCCCCACCCCGGGGGGTCATTGATTTTCCCTATATGCACATAGTAAAAACTTAAAAAATCTTCTTTTAAAGAACCATAAGAGCTAGAGCTTAGATATTTGGCATGAAACATCTTCTAGTGAATGTCTACCAAGTTTGTTCAAATAAAAGCCCTGGGGTCAAAATTGACCCCGCCCCGGGGGGTCATAGACTTTCCCTATATGCACATAGTAAAAACTTAAAAAATCTTCTTTTAAAGAACCCAAAGAGCTAGAGCTAAGATATTTAGCATGAAACATCTTCTAATGAGTGTCTACCAAGTTTTTCAAATAAAAGCCCTGGGGTCAAAATTGGCCCCGCCCCAGGGGGTCATTGATTTTCCCTATATGCATATAGTAAAATCTTAAAAAATCTTCTTTTAAAGAACTCAAAGAGCTACAGCTAAGATATTTAGCATGAAACATGTTCTAATGGGTGTTACCAAGTATGTTCAAATAAAAGCCCTTGGGTCAAAACTGGCCCCGCCCGGGGGGGGGGGGGTCATTGGTTTTCCTTATATGTGTATAGCAAAAACTTAAAAATCTTCTTTGAAAAAACCCAAATAGCTAGAGTTTAGATATTAAGCATGAAACATCTTTCAGTAAATATCTACAAAGTTTGTTCAAATAAAAGCCCGGGGGTCAAAACTGGCCCTGCCCCAGGGGTGTCATTGTTTTTAACTATATGTGTATAGTAAAAACTTTAAAAATCTTCTTTTATAAAACCCAATGAGCTAGAACTTAGATGTTTAGCATGAAACAACTTCTTATGGGTGTCTACCAAGTCTGTTCAAATAAACAAAAAAAAGCCCTTGGGTAAAAATTGGCCCAGTGGTGGGGGGCCTATATACAGGTGAGCGACCTCAGGGCCATCATGGCCCTCTTGTTCTAATATGTATATAGTAAAACATAAAAAAACCTTCTTTTCTGAATTGGCAAAGGCTACAGATAAGATATTTGGTATGAAACATTGTGTGGTAGACCTCTACCAAGATTGTTCAAATAATGGCCCTTGGGTCAAAATTGGCCCCGCCCCAGGGGGTCATTGATTTTCCCTATATGCATATAGTAAAAACTTATAAAATCTTCTTTGAAAGAACCCAAAGAGCTAGAGCTAAGATATTAAGCATGAAACATGTTCTAATGGGTGTCTACCAAATTTGTTCAAATAAGAGCCCTGGGGTCAAAATTTGCCCTGCCCCAGGGGGTCATTGAAAGCAAAAACTTTAAAAAAAAATCTTCTTTGAAAAAAAACAAATAGCTAGAGTTTTGTTACTAAGCATGAAACATCTCCTAGTGAGTGTCTACAAAGTTTGTTCATATAAAAGCCCTTGGGTCAAAATTGGCCTCGCCCCGAGGGTCATTGATTTTATTTATGTGTATAGCAAAAACTTTAAAAAACTTCGTTGAAAAAACCCAAATAGCTAGAGTTAAGATATTAAGCATGAAACATCTTCCAGTTAGTGTCTTCAAAGTTTGTTCAAATAAAAGCCCTAGGGTTAAAATTGGCCCTGCCCCGGGGGACATTGATTTTCCTTATATGTGTATAGCAAAAACTTAAAAATCTGATTTAAAAAAACCCAAGTAGCTAGAGTATAGATATTAAGCATGAAACATCTTCTAGTGAGTGTCAAATGGGGTCAAAACTGGCCCCGCCCTAGGGGTGTCATTGCTTTTAATTATATGTGTATAGTTAAATCTTAAAAAATCTTTTTTTTAAAACTCAATGAGCCAAACCTTAGATGTTTAGCATGAAATATCTTCTAATGGGTGTCTACCAAGTTTGTTCAAACAAAAGCCCTGGGGTTTAAACTGGCCCCGCTCTGGGGGCCTTTATACAGGTGAGCGTCTTCAGGGCCATCATGGCCCTCTTGTTTATTTCCAGTTTTAGAACATTTTTTTTTTTAATGTACTGATACATTATTTATTTCCTAAGGTAGTTTAGTGTAAGTAATATATTTGTTTATGTGTAGGCATTTCCAGAGTCACAGAGTGTCAGTCCAAAACCTCGAAAAATATTGGTAGAGGAAAGGTCACCTAAAGGTCAATCAGGGTTTCCTTCAAAGAAAACATTCATGGCAGAAGAGGTTTCCCCACAGAAGAAGGTGGTGAAGGTCATTCAACCATCTGTAGGGGTCAAGGTCACTCAAAATGTGGAGGTGAAGGTCAGTCAGTCTGGAGATAACATGGATAGTTCACAAGGTGGAAAACAAACAAAAGGTGAAAAAACTTTCAAATCATGAAATTAACAATATCTTCATGATCTTATCATTCCGGTGATATGCTTAATAGGTCAGCGTGTCATTGTTATAAATCTAATATGTATATTAAAAATCATTGATGCTAAATGAAACCATATTGTACATTCTTAAGGGGGTTTATGTTAAGATTAATTTGTTTATACCCGTAAATTGTAAACAATCATGTTCTATGAAAAATGTGGGTGTATGATTATGTATTATGTATACATTCAATGGTTTTAATGAGTAAAAATGGACCATACCTGGAATAAAGATATTTTTAAGTTAACCACAAGTTAAAGTAGAACGCAAGTAGCACCTTGAAAGAAAGAAATAGTTTGCATTGTTTCCCAAGAGAATACTAGTGTATTTATCATATTATATAGTCTGTACTTCAATTCAGCCTCAAGTATGAAGGGAACCAGGAGGAAGTGTAGGATATCACTGTGTGTTGGAGGATATAGATCGTCTGGTTCCCAGCTTGTAGGGCGGTTACTGAACATAACACCAAGCTCAACAGGAAGTGTGAGTGAGCGAGGCATTGTGGGTTTGCTAAACACTCCATCAACTAGTGCCACCTTGTGTAATGTTCAGTTTGACAGGGATAAAGATACAAGTCTGCTGTCCCCAGTCAGAGGGAGAAGGTAATTGAAGCAAAATATTCCTGCTATGCTATCATATATATTTTATGTACACTGCAGTCCTGCTATAATTGTCCTTGTTATAACACCAACTTCAGTATAACGCTCAAAGCCCTTGCATCCCCAAAAATTGTGTTTTTTGCCTATCAGATTTTTTTTCTCAATCAAATTCATAATATTTTTTAACATTTGTTCAATGAGACAGTCAGGTACAATAAACAATTGTTATTAGGACATTCCTGAGCACAGTAGGTGAGAGAAAAAATGTACAGTTTAGCTTTAATCCACTCATAAATTGTACAGAAAGAAAAAAAGTATTAATTTTTGGGATATATATGGTCTTCAATTTAAAGATAAATTAGAAAAAAACGATGTCGTACTGTACAAGAGTCTTGATTTAGAGTCTCAATTTTGCATTATTGTTTCAGTAATGTTCTAGTTTTAAAGTGTATAAATCTATATATCTGATGAAATATTTTTATAAAATTTATCAACATTAAAATTTTATTGGTTCCATTTTTATATGGTTGATTCCCAAAAAAGTTGAAACATAGAATATCTCTGTTATTTAACACACATGAATGTATGTAAACAGAATAAAATTATCTGGGACAAAATATTATTTTGCTATTTTAAGTAGGGTTTTATCTGTTCAGCAGTGATTTTGTGCATGAGTCATTAACTACCATTTTTTCTTCCTTCAAGCATTTTTGAAGTATTTCTTTTAAAATTCAAACAATAAATATTTCAGTAGATATATAGCTCAATACACTTTAAACATGGCTTACTTTATGATTTGCAGGTTATCAGACCTTCAAAGTCTTGTGTCTCAATTTGACAAACCAGACATGGTGAGACTGGTTCCGGTTGATCATTTCAGTATGGCTGTTCAAGGACTATCAAACCTTCTAAAACCATGGAATCAGTCTAATGAAAACTCAAAATCTGATTGGTCAATTCAAAATCAAATGAGACCATGTGACCAGGGTGATGCTGCATATTCATTGACTAGACAGTCTGATTTAGAAGATGCAGTTTTAATATTACCACTGATTAGTGATTATTTAAGACATTACATTGAAATGCTTGAATCGATGTTCGAGACTTCTACATCATCTACGGGAACTAACTCTTCAAGTTCACCAGATAGTTTTGACACCTCATCAGAATCTCCTACTGGATCTTTTAGCATGTTTCTAAAAAGTACAGCAAATTTTGCTAATGACTTAGAAGGTTTGACTATAGCCTCTCTTAAGACACTGCATACATTGTTGTCTTGTGTTGGTGTAAGACAGATTTTACTTGAGATAGATTCCAGGCAGATACAGGTAGATGTAGAATGTGCTGAAAATGAGGTAAATATTGAGACTGTTTATACGAATATAACTTGTAGAAATATGTAAAACTTAAGTGCTAATCATCAGACGAGTTTGTCTAAAACTCCATTATTTTGTACATTTTCTTGACTCTTCAAGGAATAGAGAGAGCTTTGTACTTAATCATTTTTGGCTTTCCATTTTTGGGTTAATTTTCGCGGCAATTTGGGTTTCCCCCAAAATTTACTGAAAAATGGTTGAAATTTCCCACACTTTTTTGGGAGCATTTTTAGGCAGTTTTAAAGGGGCCCCAAAATTTTCTAATATCGTTTTTAAAAAAATTAGGCCCTTTTTGGGAACGTGGGAAAATTCATGATCTTTTTTTTATATAAAAAAACAAAATAGTCCAACACCCCCTCTTTTTTCCTTATTTAAAAATTTTGATAATGTCCCCAGTAGCCCAGTATGTTTGTATAGCCCCAGCCCCAAAAGTTTGTTTTTGGATGCAGTTTTTTGAAATATATTGCATAGCTTTTTGAAACTTTTAATTAAACCCGGTAAGGGTTTTTTAATTTTTAAATTTAAGTTCCTCCCAAAATTTTTGGGAGACATTGTTTTTGCCTTTGTTGTCTGTATGTCTGTCCATCTGTCCATCCGCTTGTCAAGCTTTCACAGATCAAACTGCTGGTGGGATTTCAATGAAACTTTCGCACCTTCCCTAGTTGTGCATATGGCCAGCATGTTCCACTTCCCTGCATAAATGCTATTTGGATTTCAATGAAAGTTCACGGGAGTGATCAGTACCATCCCTAGTTGTGCATATCGCTGGCATGTACAACTTTGCTGCACAAAATGGTTGAAAAATCTTGTCCTGCCTTCACAGGTAAAACTGCTGGTGGGATTTCAATGAAACTTTTATACCTTCCCTAGTTGTGCATATGGCCAGCATGTTCCACTTCCCTGCACAAATGCTGTTTTGATTTCAATGAAAGTTCACAGGAGTAATCAGTACCATCCTTAGTTGTGCATATCGCTGGCATGTTCCACTTTGCTGCACAAACTGGCCCTCAGAGCTATAAATAGAAAAATCTTGTCTGGCTTTCACAGGTCAAACTGCTAAAAAGGACCAGAATGTTTAGTACCAAAGTAGTTTTGTGAGGCATGTTTTTTGTGACAAAAACCCCTTCAAGTTAGTGTTGAAGTGTCAAGGAATTTTCTTGTTTCAGTTTCTAGAGATTTATGATGTTTTGTCTTTAAAATTTATTTACAAGAAGTATATTAATGATAACTTTTTTAGTGGATTTTGGAGATGAGAAAAAAATAACTTTTATACCCAGTTCTTACATAGTTTGAGTGATTTTTCCCATTATTTGTAAGGCAGCATGTAGTAGAAAAATATATGAATAATTTATGTAACACAAAATTGTTTCAAAGAAAAATTCAGCATGCTCCCAAAATAGCTTTATTTAACATGTATACTCACATTTGTCCTAGGGGCGTCCGTGGCCGAGTGGTTAAGGTCGTTGACTTCAAACCACTTGCCCCTCACCGCTGTGGGTTCGAGTCCCGACAGGGACTTTGGATTCTTTCATGTGAGGAAGCTATCCAGCTAGCTTACGGAACGTCGGTGGTTCTACTCAGGTGCCCGTTCGTGCCTGAAATAATGCACGGAAGGGCACCTGAGGTCTTCCTCCACCAGTAAAGCTGGAGCGTCGCGATATGACCTATACTGTGTTGATGTGACGTAAAACCCAAAACAAAACAAACAAAACATTTGTCCTACAACAAAAATAAAATATTGTTTGATTTGTAAGTAATCAATAAATTAATGACTTGATCTATTTTAGCCAAGCAGTGAAACAGAATTTCCAATTAAAGATTCCTCATCAAAGTTCACTCACATACCTCGGAAATATATCATCAAACTGAACATATTAAAAAAGGTGCTTAGATTGTCAAACCCAGGAACCAAGGTAAAATTACTTCATATATATGTTTTATGTTTTATGAATAAAATATAGAGATTTCATCACCTCTGCCAGAAAAGTAAGTGTTGTTTACTAAATGAAATATAAATAAACAATGATTTTTAAAAAGCAGAAACTTAGATTATACAAATACAACTTGCAATTCTCTCCTGTGTAGAAAACATTAGAGCCAGGAATTTCTATAAAAATCTTTCATTAGTTATCTGTAAGGTTCACTTGATAAAAAAGAGTGGTCCAGTCCTTTTTATATTTTAGGCAGTTTATATATTTATTCTAATCAGTCACCATGATTGTGCTGTTGGTAGTTTTAGCTCAGGAAAACAGCAGTAAGTGACATTGAATTTACCAGAGCTTGTTCCTGAGCAGGCTGTCAAGTAGTTTACCAGTACTAGTTTCACTTCTCTTTCACAAGGAAAGATAACTTCTGTAAATGCTAAAGCAGAGGTACAGTGCGAATGACCGTTAAAAGGATTTCATGATCAATCACATTAAGAGTGACCTGCACCTTTTTGTGAATCAAACCCCGGTCACCCTGATTCACAGTTCTACCTATTGAGCTAACCCTACATGCTCAATCCCTATGATATTAATGGTCAATCTTTTTAAATACATAGATAATTCAGCTCAACTTGACATTGACAAAAATGAGCATAATGTGCCTTTAATGCTGCATACAGTCTGCCGTTGTATTATTTCAGGGAAGACTAACACAATGCAAGAATTGTAACAAATTGCTTAAGTATATTGACAGTTCTTGCTAACTATGCAAGTGATCAACAAATGACATGGTAAATCTAGTATTGTAAATTATCTTACAATTAGAATATAACATACAGTAACTATTCATACCAGTATTTGATGCCATTTTAACCAATACTTTTAACTTCTTTACACTTTTCTTGTTCTCAGAGTTAAAAACAGGGTTTATTCACCATATATAAATGATAAAATAATTTTCATGATGGCAGCTTATTCCCTGGTCCCCTAGATGAAGGTTAGGGTTATTTTAGTCACAAGCGTATTACATGTTATTATTCATTATAATGTATATATATATTACTGCCATATAACATGTTATAGTTCTTTGTAGTGTATATTACTGCTATATAATGTGCTAAAACTCTCCATAATGTATTTATAATACTGTGTAATGCTAAATTACTTTCATTGATTAAATCTAAAAATAATTCATAATTTGCTGCCGGAGTTTCTATTGATGACATAAACATTTATAAACATTATGATTATCCAATGAAAATCCATATTGACAAACATTTTAATTACTATAATAATTATTAGACGGGTTTGATTTTCAGAAAAGACCCTCCGTTAAGAGTCTAACGGCATTTTTTAGTACAAGCAGGTAGTCAATCGTTTTTACATAATTCGGGTACGCTGAATCATTTTTTTGCTCTACCACGGCTGTACTCGAAGTCCTTGACCTTCTAAAGATCAAATCAAAATGGCCGCCATTGTCCTATACCATCTACTTAAAAAATTATCATTTCTGGTACATATCGTATCGTATCTCGTTAATCTACATGGAATAAAGTTTCAATTACTTTTAGGAATAATTGGCTGATAATTATACATGCTTAACACATTGACTGCTGTGCCGGCCATCTTTGATTTCAAAATGGACACCTTTTTTAACAAATATAACTAAAAGTGCTTTTAAACAAATAGATCCTTTTGTAGGAATGAGTATCAAAAATTGTATGATGATATAAGCAACATGTCATGTCGAATTGTACACACTGTGTAGGTATACTGCACACTTTAATTTACATCATTACTTCAAACTATCACAGGTCATTCCTTTAGGACAATTAATCTATATCAGGTATCTGAGATCCCAAATGTCTTACAAAAGACCTGCAACTTTTAATTTACCATTAGATGTTTAAGGTTTTTTTTTATTTTGACAGAATAGCATTTGTGTAAACCTTTATGGACACTAGGTCATTTTATATTTTGAATGCCAAGAGTCAAGGTCAGTATGTAAATATTTTAAATATTGCCTGTCATCTTCACAGGTCAGCGACTATGTCTCTGGGCCCGATGTCTATGCATCAATATCTGTTGTATGACCCGATTTAAAATAGAAAAAAAAAACGACAACAACAGAATCCCTAAAAACGATCAAAACAGCAAAATTGAAATGTTGTAGACTCGATTTGATTGAGCCTGTTCATGGACGTTACACGAAATTGCAAGGTACCGTCTAAGCACCCTAGCACCGGTCTACGCAAAGTTCATATATCAAAGGGGGAATTGCGAAATTTGGAATTTAGAAACATCCGCAGATGTGTTTATACGATATTTTTTATTGTTGTATCGATATAGCTACTTTATAAAGGGCCGTATTTATCAATCAAACTTTAAACATGCCTAGACATGATTTAAAACAGATCATCTATTTATTAATTGAAATAAACTCAAATAAATGGTAAAGTCATTTTAATCTTTATTATCTTTCACTTTGAAAAAAGTCTCGCAAACATGAACCATAAACAGTCTACGAGCTTACACTGTCTTACGGTAAATGAATAATATAGAGTAAAACATTATAGGTCTACCGCGGGTATTTGATGATGGTATATGCATAGAAGATTAGACAGATAATTGATACCAATTCTGCAATTAATATATTGACGATTCACTGCTGTTTACCCTATTTTATTAACACAGAATGATTTGATAGAGCATTTTTTTTTTTTGCTACTAAATCATGTAACATATGCCGTCGAAGACTATGTCTTTAAATTTTATTAACTTAACTGATAATACGAGATTTTTTGCGTTTTGTCTTAATTCATTGATATTTATTCATTCATTGTCCTGGTTAATATCAACTTCTTCATTATAATTATGTCACTTTGCCAAGGACGCTGCGCCTAATTCTATCTCATGTTTTAAAATCATCCAAGTGACTAAGATATATTCAAATCTTCATACTTATTATGTTCTTGTATTGGCTATCTTTCAAGAAATTGATGAGTATCTTATTCCATTATGATATAACATATTTTGATGTCATTTGCCACAATATAATTATTTAATCTCATATTTTTTCTACTATCACTCCATAAAATTACTTTGTTATTTCTTAGTGTAATTTTAGTCACTAAAATGTGTACCAACTATTTTTGCACTATCCTGACAATTATGTAAAACAAAGATAAACAAGGGTGTGCCACTTTCCTTGTCAATCTTGTTTTCCATTTTTTACATTGAATGCATGGTTACTGTAGTCTTACAAGTTTTACAAAAATTAGAAACATTAAGAAGCATTTATTTATATCTTCAGTAAACCTTATTATTTTAAAAAGCATCCATGAATAAATGACAGAATTCATGACCGGACATGACTTTCAAAATATGACCTTTAATGTCTGAAATCTTACTTTATGCGACTTTTCTCACTCAAGACAAATTGTTTCAAAGTACCACGTATTTATTCTTAGCTCTCGCTGAATAACACATATATGGACTGGACATGGCCACAAATGCACTCTCATACCATGACTTTTGAAATACAAATGTGACCTTGTAACATTTGTCCGCTACGTCTTACAAAGAGGAGCCATATTTATCCCAAATGATTTTGAATTCATCCATGAATGACAAAATCGTAAACCAGTCTTTTTAGACACTTTAAGGAAATATTTTGTTCGAAGTGAAAGTATGATTTTGATCTTTGATTTACATCATCAGATGGGTTTACTTGTGACTCATTGTCCCAATGTGCCATATATTTATGCATAATTATTATTTCAAAAGGCATCAACTAATGAGAAAGTTATAGATCGGACACAACCATCTTGTTACGTTTATATCATGATTTATGATATAGAAGTTTAACTGTAGACATAACCTTGCTTGTGCATGACACGACCTTTTCAAATTACACATTTACGCAGTTATTGTCGTTCCAGGACGGTGGCATATACAATTAACAAGATTTAAATATTTTTACACGTTCACCGCCTGCTCTATGTCGATCAAAACAGATAATTTAATACCACATGATAACAAAATAGACGACAAAAGTCCTAACACAGGGGCCTCAACCACCATGTTCTTGTCGGGTTACCTATATAAGCAAATGAAATACTATTCTCATGCACGAAGCTCGGCACTAGTATGTTTGGGCTTCCATGGGATAAACACAATATAGAATATTTCTCTTACAAGAAGAAATATTAACTCTATTATTCAGGAAAGTTGTCTATTTCATGAAAAAAAGTAATATTTTTCGAATGCCAGCCTGGATGGCGATTCCTATATTACTTTTGGAAATACTAAGACTTTTTTTTAAATATCATCGTGCATGAAAAATTGTTGACCGGGTTCCCCACTAATGAACTTTTACAAACTTGTCTTTCTTGATAGACATGACCCTGATCTTTGGACTGTTGAATTGGCTCTAAATCACTACATGTTCCAGTACATGTTCTTGCGCAATTGACATTGACATAAGAAATAACCAAACAATTTTCATGGTATCCCTGTTTGAAGATTAAGTAATAATATAAAGTACATCATTTCCCAATCCGTTATAGGCCGTATATTTATGCTCAACTTTTCCAAATTCCATCTCTCAATGACACAATACTAAAATGCACATCTTTTTTCAAGCACTTTTAAGTCTAACTTGAGGAGTTGAGCTTCAAACCTGGGTCTTTCTTATGACATTGTATCAATGTGCCACACATTAATGCAATTTTTTTTCAAAATCTATCCAAAAATGACAGATATGGACGGGATTAAAAACGGACAGACAGGGACAAGCTCTTACTGAGAGATTTGTGAAGATGTCTGTTATCTTCATGTTTGTTTCTTACTCCAAAAGCAGCCCTTTGCCTCCCATAACCAATGATTCATCCTATAGGTTGGGGGTATACGGAATTAATCTAAACGCCTAAGTGTGATCGCAAATACCCCTAACTGACACAAAAGGACGCTCGGACAGATAGACAGACGAACAGACATTTGAGCAGGTCCCCCCTCAGGGCGATACAAATCCAATTTAAAAAACATCGCAATAATTTATATGCATTGTATTCTTAGAAGTATAAAAATAACATCTCAATGAAAAAGTGAACGCAAAAATGACTCTCATTTACGTTGTATAAGGGTATAAATTGTGACCTTTTTGCACCATAAAGTTTGTAGTTTTAATGGATGTTTTTCAAAATCTGCGCTTGGAAGTAATAATTAGTATCACTGCACTTCTAATAAAAGAAAACATGCCTGGTAAAATGTCTTCTTGTGCTTGTTTACTTTAATTATAATACAGTGTATAAAACAAAGGAAATTGTCAGCCATTTTGAAATCCAAGATGGCTGCCGCAATAAATTTTATTGTTTTTGCATCTATTATTCTCGTCCACACTTCAGCAGACAAAAATTAACAAAGCCTTAAATTAAAATGCCAAAAAATATGTATATATCTCGTCCATGGGAAAATTAAAGTAAAATTAAAAAAATTCAATGGCGGCCATTTTGAAATTGATTTTTAAAGGTCAAGGACTAAAATTACAGCCGTGGTAGAGCAAAAAATGAATTCAGCGTACTCGAAATAGGTAAGTAAGCCAAACTACCTGCTTGTACTAAGAAATGCCGTTAGGATGAACATTTTCCCAAAATCAAACCAGTCTATATATTTTATTCAGTTTGTTACCAGTATTATCAGAGGAGAGTTTACAGAACTGTATGTTGACAGATGGTGATTGTGATATTGTTATACATGCATTACAACTGTTTAAATGTTTACTGAGAAGTAACCAGGTTGTATCATCATTATGTACAAACACCACTGGTGAGTCAATTACAGATTTACTAAATTGTTACTTTGTAGAAACCTTGGAGCTCTTAGACTTTTAGTTCAGTCTTTGTGAAATTTGGTATTTTTTACTGAGTTTGCTTAAAGCCTGATTATAGTAATACATGTATATCGTACATGAAGCTTTTATAAATTTTGGTGCTGGTTTGTGCTAGAGATTATGCTGGATGAGTTTAGAAAAAATGTATTTGCTGATGTCCAGATTTAGTTTATCTAAAATCTGCATTCCACATTCTCTAAGTTTTTAGCTTGACTATTCGAAGAATATGGAGAGCTTTTGCAGTCACGTCAGCGTCGGCGTCTGCGTTGGTTAAAGATTTTTGTAAAGTCAAATATCGCAATTATTGCTTGAAATATTCAGTTGAATTTACAATACTTTTTTATAGTAACAATGTTCATCAATTAAGAAGGTTGCATAACTCTGCCTGCAGTATTTGCAGAATTATGCCCCTTTGAAACTTAAAAATTTTGGTTAAAGGTTAAAGGTCTTAAGAACTATCAAAGATATTTACTTGAAACTTTACACATGTAGCTAGGGTCATAATTGAAGGTTACATCTCAAGATCCATACTCTGCCATGTTTTTTGGCTGAATTATGCTCCCTTTTGTACTAAAAAAATCTCCTTTTCTTGGTTAAGTTTTACATGCAAGTTTTGCATATCTCTGAAACTATTAAAGATACAAACTTGAAACTTCATATGAATATTTGTAGTCACAAGTAGAGTGCTGGTCTGTCAAAAGGTAGACCTGTATTCAATCCTTGTCCTTTCCATTAGTCCAATGCCATTATTTTGATAACAAGTCATTCTTCTAATTGTCAAGCATGCTGTCATCAGACTTGCTTATTTCCAAATTTATGCCCCCTTTTTATACTCAATGAAACTCATGGTTAACTTTTTGCTTGTAAGCTGGTATCTCCCTAACTACTGAAGGGAATGAAATGAATGCTTACATACATTTTCACAGTGTTTTTGTATAATGATTGGCACAGGTCCCATAACTCTGATTTACTTATTTACATATTTATACCCCTTTTATACTCAATGAAACATCCTTGTGAGAACTCTATCGAAAAGTCAAGCATTGCTGTCTTCATACAGCTCTTGTTATTTTAAGCTAGCAAACGGAAAGTCGGTTTTTCTACACAGTGCATGTCTGTGCCTAACCCAACCAAAAAAAAAAAAAAAGTAAAAGAAATTATAGAATGGAGTTGTGTTGTCTTAAACAATTTACATTTAAGAAATGTAAGTTCAGAACCAAAACATCTGCTGTTTTGATATTAATGGCTCAATATGCCTCCAAAATGAATATTTTATTCATACTGTGTAAAAGGGCAAACATGTTTTATGTTGATGTTACAATGATGGATTTAGAAAGTGAAATGCTTATCACTGCACTTACTGCCTAAATACAAGATGGCTCAGGTATGTGGTCAGTGTAATAGTTTTGGAAACTGTATAGGGGACACCAAAAATACAAGCTTTTGAAAAATGAAAATTATCACATTTTGTAGGCTTAACGGGTCTTTAATTAAGTCCTTGATAAATTTCCTTCCTTTTATACTGACTCAAGATTCAGTTGTATGATAGGCTTCAATTGAAAAATCAGATTTTTGCTCTTCTTTGAAAACAATTATTGTTTTTTTTTTCCTTTTTAAATGATTGAAAAAATAGAAAATACTTTATGTTCTGATAGGATGCGAAAAAGGCTGGGTAATTATATTTGAATTTTTCTGTAACCTGTAGTAATCTTTTGTTTCAGGTTGTGTATTGATGACTACATATAGTTTATGTTCATCAGAAAAACTGGTCAATGCATCTGTTTCATCTAAACTACAAATAGCAAACTTGGTAAATACAGTTTTTAATGACTCCAACTTAGTGGGAGCATGTAGATTTGACCTTGTCTGTATTCAGGTTTCATGCTATTCATATGTAGATTAACATAACAGTGGGATATGTGGGCATCCGTGTCCTATGACAACATTTATAGAGCACATTTCTAGTTCAATTTTTACTTTAAATACATTATTTATATCATGTAAATGTTGATTATTTATTTATATTGATTTTTTTTTCTGTACTCAAAAGAAATTAAGGTATTTTTCAGATATTAAGTGGGTTTTTTAAACAGAATAATGATAATTGCTGACATATATGTTCATACTAGTGTTCTTATACATTTACAGATAGTTGAGAGTATATTTTACCTTGCCAGTTCACATAAGGGATGTTTCACTCTTGTACTAGAGTCTGACTGCCAATGTAGTGTAGAGGTATGTTATATATCTTTATATTTGAGCCGTGTCACGATTAAACCAACATAATGGGTTTGCGACCAGCATAGATCCAGACCAGCCTGCGCATCCGCGCAGTCTGATCAGGATCCATTCTGTTCGCTATCAGTTTCTCTACTTGTTATAGGGTTTGTAAGCGAACAGCATGGATCCTTATCAGACTGAACGGATGCGCAGGCTGGTCTGGATCCATGCTGGTGGCAAACCCATTATGTTGGTTTTGTCATGACGCAGCTCATTTTATGTTCATAGAAATGATGAAGTAAATTTATTCTATACAAATTTACAAAACTTTATCTAGTTTTCTTCATTGAACTTTTGACAAAATTATTATTTATCATAGAGATTGTGTTCCCATTAACATTTGGAACTTCTCATTAAATAGTACAGTTCTAGTGCTATAATTATGGTTTCCAGTAAAGCAAGGATGCTCAATATTTGTCTGTACTAGGTATATTTCAAATTTCAGCGTTGACTTATCATACAAACAAGGTCAAAATGGTACTGATACGTCATAGATTAAGATAATCTTGTATAGGTTCTTAGACTGCATCAAGGTGTGATGTGTTTCAAGATTTATGATTGATGTTAAACTATGGTGCAATAGTTATGGTAGATTGTGCATGTGTAGTTGGATTTTAACATGAGTGATGTGGAAGTAGTGATGTTGAATAATCATTCAGATAAGCATATACAAATAGATTATTTTTATAACTTTTGTTGATACTTAACAAACACTTGTTACATAATATTAGTGGAAAGCCTGGTTTTGTCCATTTTGTAATAAATTATTTTGTTTATTACATTTTTTTGCATTTGTATAATTACAGGTTGTAGGAAGTATTGTAAGTCTGCTACATTCTGTTTTGAAAGTATACAAGGACTTACAGTCCAGCATGAATGAACATTTACCACAAAAGTACACCAGTCAATATGAACAAAACACAAACTCTGTAACCAGTCAGTCACAACAAGAAGAACATAATCTCACAACCAGTCTGAAAATTTTGCAGTCAGGTTTACAGCTGCTTCATCTGATGTCACAGTTTGACTCAGAATTTCATACTAGACATGTACAAGTCCAACACAAATATGTACGCCTGATTTGTGGATTGACTCATATATTTAGACATGAGCTTAGTGGAGACAATGAGAGTGAAAGTAAGTTATATTTAGATTTTATGGTTCATTCTTTTATTATTTAAATAATGTATTGCTTAGCTATTTTTAATCTTGACCTTTTAGACACTTTTAGCTCTTCTTTTCTACTCCCTGTAGCACGAAAGTAACAACTGGTTAAGGGTTTGGATGCAACTTATATCTCATGACCGCCTCTGTGGCCGAGGGGTTAGAGTCGATGACCTCTAATCCAGTTACCACTCTGGCGTGGGTTCGATCCCCGGGAGATGCTTTGGTAGTTTAGCACGGAGGAAGGAAGTCTAGTACTGGTGTAACTCTCCAGAACGATGGTTAGGAAACTACCTGCCTATATTACTGAAATACTGTTGGGAAAAGGCGTAAAATGAAACAAACAAACAAAACCTCTGAAGGCATACATTTGAATCTTGCTATCTTAATATCATTGAATATGTACATTTGAAACTTCATATCTCATTTCCATCGAAGGTTTTTCTTCCTCAGTGAAGCTGGAAAGTTGCAATATGACCTGTACAGTGTTGATGCTACCTAAAACTCCCTTAAGTCACTCACTCCCTCCTCCTCCCCTCCCCCCTTCCCAAATAAAAAATAACAAATAAGGTTCCTGTATATCGTTTATTATTAACAGTTGTGCAAGGAAGAATGTCTTGTTGGAATGCAACATCAGGCTTTTCATATAAAAAAGTGTAAAAACTGGTTTATAAAATTACATGGATACAAGAGTGTGCTAGAAACATTGCATGAAAGCACAACTGGTATCTACCTCTTCTATTGCCAGTAGAAATATTTTAGACTTAAGTATGTTTTGAGTGTGAATTTGAAATATTGATAATAACATAAAAAATAAATGAAAATGAAGATTGTCTTACTCAGTTATTGTTTGATAATTTCAGTGAATGCACTACAAGATTTATGGGACTTCAACCAGGATGACTCAGAACTGTCTCAAGATAGTGATACTGATGAGCAAGAATCCATGGACAATACTTGATAACTTCACTTCAGTTACTTGATAAACAAGAATCCATGGACAATACTTGATAACTTCACTGTAGTTACTTGATAAACAAGAATCCATGGACAATACTTGATAACTTCACTTCAGTTACTTGATAAACAAGAATCCATGGACAATACTTGATAACTTGACTTCAGTTACTTGATAAACAAGAATCCATGGACAATACTTGATAACTTCACTGTAGTTACTTGATAAACAAGAATCCATGGACAATACTTGATAACTTCACTTCAGTTACTTGATAAACAAGAATCCATGGACAATACTTGATAACTTCACTGTAGTTACTTGATAAACAAGAATCCATGGACAATACTTGATAACATCACTGTAGTTACTTGATAAACATAAGGATATGGACAGAATGTGACAGGTACTTGATTCCATGGATAGTAACTTGATAAACATAATTGGAGACCATGGATAGTATATGACAGGTACTTTGTTCCATGGACAATACTCTACAAGTGCTTGAAAAAACAAAATACTGTAGAACGCATTGAACAGTTATAACAAAATATTAGACCATGGTCAGTTTTATGTGAAAGGTAGTACTTGATATACAAAATATAAGACTGTAAGAGCATTTAGACAGTACTTGTTATTCAACAGTTGAACTAATATAAATAGAAATCCTTGTGGAGCATTTTCAGTCCTAAAAAAATTATGACATATTTATCAATATTTAATTGTTGTACAGAAGTGGGATCCATAGAAAAACACTGCACTATTCTGAGTACAGGGTTAAAAGACATAACAAGATAAGCAACATATCTTTGATATTGTTGATAGTAAAAATATTTTGCCAGTTAAAGGTGTATGATACATTATTATGGTAAAGAGTTAATCTTTAAACTTTTAATTACCATTTTATAGAAAGTATACAAGTAACAATGTTATAAGTGATGATGCATAGACTTGTTATAGGAACTATAAGAATAGTAATGAAAGTTATAGCAAGTAGCATGCCTCCAGATTCATGCTTACTTTCATGTTAATTTTGAAAATGTGTTTAAAAGTAAAAAAAACATTGTCATGGTGATTGTGAAGTGAACAAAGATAGTAATATACACATTGCAAACGGTACTTACAAATCCATGTAAACAAATCAATGTAAATGTAAATTATGAAGATATAAAAAAAAATGCAAAAATATTCCGTACTGCATTTGTTAAGGAGTAGAAGTATGGGGATAAATCTTGCAATCACACATAGCATAAATTATCACTTAAAACGTTTTACTTTTCTTGAACTCTGTACATTTTTCTCAAGTTTGTTTTTCTTGAACTATTTTGGCTCAACTAGAGGCATGCAGCTTTAAACTACAAAACTTTAGATGAGTTTTTTTGGTCTTTTATATAAAATCTATTATTTATTGTGAAATGTAATCAAAGAAATAAAATTTGGTCCAGAAGAAGTTTTATCAGATAAGATGGACAAGCCTATTCCTTAGAAATTCTTGTTTAAGAAAATTTGATATTTTTAATTCTGTTGTCTATGTGTTTGATTAATTATTCAATATATTCAGATTATTTTGGTTAAGATCGTTTCTAATTTATAATAATAAGATTTTGTTTTACTTCAGTTGTTTTAATTGTATGATATTGAATAGTTGACTGAGATTGGATCAAATATTGTAAGATATTTTACTGTATTGTTAAGAATTTTTGTTGAACCATGTTTAAACTATTAAAATTGAAAGTTTCAATGCGTGTTTTATTCTGACTCAACTAACACTTAATGTTAAAGTGAATTTGTCTACAATGGGCACATTTTCCATCATTATTTCAAATATTGATAAAAACAAAAGAAACGATCATTTAGATATTCATATAGAATATTCCTGGAAAAAAATATTGTTAAAAATCTTAAGAGAATTAATTAATATGAACATTTATATGATGAATATTAATATATGTAAGCCACTTGTGGCGGAGGGGTTTCCTTTATGGGTTGAGGCATCAGACTTGCAGCCACCGTTTCCTAAGAGGGGACTAAATGGGTTCGAAATTACTGGAGTCGATGCATGTCTTGGCTTCAGCAGGTGAGATGGTTTTTGACCCCTGTTGATGCTTTAAGTTTTTAACACAAAAGTAAGTCAAAATCACCTTTTCCTGATCTGGCGCCATATGACCTAATCTATGTTGGTGCGCCGTAAAACCAAACAACAAAAAATGATGCTAAATACTATCAATATAATTTCTTATCATATTACTGACGTTTGCATTATAGACCAATTCACTTTAATGAAAATTAAAAATGCATATAGTTTACCCTGTGGCCCATCTTGTGTTGTGTAGTGTCAGAATTTATACTGAATGTGACTAATATCTGACATATTAATCAACGTCGTTGTAAAATGTTAAAACAAGTTTAGGAACTTTCTCTTGTCAAACTAGGATGTGTAAATATTACACTACGTTTTTAAATAGTTTTAGTTTTACTTATGTGTTGGGAGCTATAAGCATATTGAAACACTCTCCAAGCTGTTCCTGGAACCAACAAGTACTATGCAATGGATGTAAAGTTTCTTGTTCAAGGAAACAATAGCTTGCCCCTGACAGGGTTTGAATCCACGCGATTAAAGACTTGAATCCTCACATAGCAGCATCATAACTAATTTCAGGCCAAACACAAGTGCCGTACAGTTTAATGAACACATAAGACATGCCACTGGTCAATCTATTTACATTTCGGACATCAGGCGCGACTTGCACTTAAAGTACCTGTCTTACTTGTAACGTAACTATCTGCCATAGGTGTTCATTAAGAACCCTACCAATGACCAAGGTGCGTATAATTTTATACAGTGTTTAGAACCTTATCATTACATGTAAACACCGTGTTTGAATGAACAACAGACAACGGTCGAAAGTGTACAAATTAACTTTTTGTATTAATTCATATCATTTATTTTGCACCAGTCATTTAATGCATTAAATAACCTTTGTAGGTCCTGATAAAACAATATCATTGACATAAAGTAAGATATAAATATGTTCGGTGTTAAAACGAACGACTTTGATACAAGTTGCAAAGGCTGAAGAACAGGGGAGACAACACACAGTTGTGTTGAAGTAAATTCATTAATTTTAACACGGGACAAAAACATATTGATATGATTTAACTGGAAGTAATCTTTCCAAAAGTACCAGCTTCTTCTAAACTTATGCCCATAATTTACCTATATTTATATAATCATGTGACTGAAAAGTGTATACATTGTATATAGTACAAACTAATGATATAATTATGGCAATGCTAGAGTGATAGTGTAAACAAAATTTTAATTTACACGAGTAATTTTTCCGGTTATGTTCGGAAAACGTAATATTGAAAAGAGAATCGTCCGATTCCCTTTGGTTAAAGAAGTTTGAAATGTTTTCCTAGTTCTCAGTATTAATTTTGTCCGGACATGCATTTCTTTCTGAACTCGCGTGCTTTGTGGGGTATTGGAATGATACGAACATGTAGGAAAAATTCTGTCCATCTATTACATGTATTAACAATAACGAAGAATGACACGATACTCTAGTCCTGAAAACAGAATGTGCATATCATTTAGACTGCACCTGTCCGTATTATATACATTGCTGTAAAATAACATGTAAATGGTAGTGAAACATGTCATGTGGAATATATATTATAACCAGAATCATTTTTGCAACATTAACTAGGTTACTGTTACATATGAGCGGAAAATTTCGCAGCATTATATAATATATCTGAGAAAAAGCTCCCGCACGTGTACTTCTTATTGTATAAATGTTTTAAGAAAAATGGATGTAAGAAATGAAAATAACTTTGATTCTGTTGGGACTACTACATGTACTAGTGCAGTAAAAAGACACGATGAAGTTTTGGATCTGGATAGTGACGATGACTCCCCGGACTCCTCTGTGTCTACAAATGAGGCTCAGACTCGTGACCGTGGATTATGGGCGAACAAACTGGAGTTTTTTCTCGCTATTACAGGATATACAGTTGGATTAGGCAGTGTTTGGAGGTTTCCTATGGTGTGCAGGTATTACATTATATAGTGTACTTAGACAAATGTTAATGATTTGTTATTTTAATTGATTGATTAATTAATTAATTAATTTAATTAGTTAAATTAATGAATTAAAATCAAATTAAATTTAATTTAACTAATTAATTTAATAAATAAATAAATAAATTAATTAATTAATAATTTATAAATAAATTAATTAATTAACTTTTTATTTTTTTTATTTTTTGCCACAACTGTATTTATTTCGTAAAGTTCCTGAACCATTTTTACAACTAACCATTTGTCCACTAAAAGATAGATTCCCAACAAATCATCTAATTCATTCTTTGTGTGATCTGTCTTGTATGTTTGATTGCGCAGATTTATTATAAATACAACGGCTCTGTTGTAAATATTTTATTTGTTTTGTGAAATGATTAATTAATATATGAATTTATAATCAAGTTTCACGAGTCGAGTTTTATTAAACATGGCTGTTTAAAACACATATTGTTATCCACTTTCATTCCGTCAAACTGTCCTGGATAATTGAAACCTCTTGCGGGGGTGGTGATCTAGTGAACTCAATCAATTTACAATTTGTTTTAAACGAAAGTTGTCAGACAATTTACATTTTGTTTACTTCTGCGCTGAAAAATCCAGATGAATGCACAGTGAAACTCGTGTTTTTTAATGTATTCTAGTCGTAATGGCGGTGGGGCATTTCTCATTCCATTTTTCTTCTTTCTGATCACATCTGGAGGACCTCTTTATTATTTGGAAGTATGTCTTGGACAGTTCACTGGCCTGAGTGCAGGACTAGCCTACGAGTTTTGTCCTTTATTGAAAGGTAAATCTTTTCTTTTATTGTCTGAGTTTTATTGTCAGGTACCATTTTGTTTTATAACCAAATGATATTATTACATTTACTAGATTGATTTACTCCATTATATTGACTGATAATTATGACGTTTAATTAATAACATGTTATTGTCTGTCATCATTATTTGGCATTATTTTTTGTACAATTCTATCATATTTTAATACCATCGTTGAAGGCTTTGTAATGAATTTCACCTGTCTTGGAATAAGGAACATCTGATATAATACTGCGTTCGTAAATGAGTTTGACAGGTTTTATTTTCTAGCAGTAACATAATTATATATCATAGACAGCTAATGTGTACACACAATGTGAAATAATGATAAAGTCAGTACAAGGAACTATATTTCTTTTACAGCGTTAAATGGTTAATATGCGGACACAGAGGATATTCTTTTAACTAAATAGTTGTACGGAATTTCATTAGTTTAATTATTTATGTCCTTCTCAATGATGCCGCATTGTTATTTTTAATATGAGCCGTGTCACGACAAAACCAACATAGTGCGTTTGCGACCAGCATGGATCCAGACCAGCCTGCGCTACCGCGCAGTCTGATCAGGACCCATGCTGTTCGCTTACCAACTCTATTACAAGTAGAGAAACTGATAGCGAACAGCATGGATCCTGATCAGACTGCGCGGATGCGCAGGCTGGTCTGGATCCATGCTGGTCGCAAACGCACTATGTTGGTTTTGTCGTGACACGGCTCATATATTTATAGCATTGTTCGTGTTGTGCACGCCATGAAGATGCTACGATTTATTTTCACTCAGCGATAAAAAAACTCATTATGCCACAGAAATTCTTTATTTTTATTTCTCGAAAGTTTTTATTTTTGGTGTATTTTTATAGTGAACAAAATGTTACTCATTGGCCAATTACCAGAACCATCTTTTCTCTTATGCAATAATTCTTGGCTGATAATTCAGGTATATAGTGATTTAGTATTTTGTAGATGTCAAAATACTACTGTGTTTACATTTTGCTACATTTATGACAAATAATTTCACATTTCAGGTAACAAGCGTCTATGATGCTTTAAAACATTATTTCAGCCGCATCCAGACCAGCCTGCGCATCCGCGCAGCGTGATCAGGATCCATGCTGTTCGCTTACAAACCCTATAACAAGTAGAGAAACTGATAGCGAACAGCATGGATCCTGATCAGACTGCGCGGATGCGCAGGCTGGCTGGATCCATGCTGGTCGCAAAGCCATTATGTTGGTTTTGTCGTGGCGCGGCCCGTTTAAACATTATCAAAATCTTGTTTTCCCTGTTTAAAGATTTAAACAAATATATTCGTTTCCAAGGCATATTGTGCCTTCAAAGAATGCTGCAATTCTTATATACACTGGCTGCATCTAACTGAGATTTTAAATGTAAGATTTACTTCTTGCAAATATTACACCAAGTGAGTGACCAATTAACATGGAATAAATAATTATTAAAAATGTAATTTTTCAGGTTTAGGTATTTTACAAGTTCTTCTATCCTTGACTGTTCTGTGGTATTTGATGGACGTTTTGGCATGGACATTTTATTTTTTGTACAGTTGCTTTCAATCAGAACTTCCATGGACAACATGCAATAATTCGTGGAACACTCATCGATGTAGAGGTAATCATATTCCGTATTATATACTAGTATCATACAAGTTTATAATATAAAAAACACAAACAAACAAACAAACAATCTCAGCTTAGTTAATGCTATTGCGCAACTTTCCACGGTATTATCTTTTTCAAATGATGAACGGAAACATGCTAATTTTCATGAAAATTTAAAAAATGTATTTAAATAAAAGTAAATTATTGTAAATTGAACAAAGAAACGCAAACGGCACTTGCAATCCATGTAAATAACTAAAAAGTGGTCAAATCATGCAAAAAAAAAAAAATTAAACTTCTGCATTAGTCACGCAGTAGAAATATGGTGATAAAGATTGCAAATCAGTCTTTAATCACACATAACATGTAAATTATTACTTGTTTCTTGAATCTTTTTATTACTTTTCTTTAAATCATAATGCATTTTTCCATTGAAATATTTTGGTTCGTCTTGGGGCATGCAGCTTTAAAGTCAACTCTGCTCACATTATAGGGTTGTTCAAATCTCTGACTTCAATATGTACAGTACTATTTCAGCGGTTTCGGAAGTTTGGTCAAGCGTTGACCTTCACAATTCCAGCTTTCAAGGTGAGACTGTTGTGAAAGATGTATACAGTGGAATGTTAAATGGATCAGCGTCTATCATTAGTAATGTCACTATGGGAAACACAAACGTGACGTCATACAACAGTAGTGGTACAAGCACCTCTGCCTATGAATTTTGGGAGTAAGAATGAAAAATGTTATCATTTTTTTCTTTTCTTTTCATATTATTTATCAGTGCATTCAATCAAAACACCAGGTATTGTCAATTTTTGCAATTTTGTAGAATTCATGTAAGTAGCGAAAAACAAATACTTATTACAAATACAGGTGCCTTCTTTGTATCGACAGAGAAACTTCGCTATAAGCATGTGAATATTTCCATATCAATGGATTCTATGATAATTTTCTATCGTAGGAAATTATTTTCGTTACTTCATATGACTTCGATTTGTATGTCACAAGTATACAGTAAAACAAGACGTGTACGTACTGCCACACTGTTTTTCGTGTTAAACCATCGGGAAAACTACTGTTATGCAACATTCATCATGATATTTTTTAGATATAAAGTGATTGCACGATCTAGTGGTCTGGAAGACATGGGTAGTATACAAATCCATCTGGTCGTCTCCTTTTTTCTGGCGTGGGTTTTTTGTGTAGCTGCTGTGATCAAAGGGGTTAAAAGTCTTGGTAAGGTAAGCCTGGAATATATTCTTCTTTTGCTGTAATAATTTTATCTTAAACATTATGCCGGATATGTATTAAAGTAAAACCAGGTGGTTGATCAACTTCGGTACTTTCTATCAGCAAATTTATACGACAATGCAACATTTGCACTGGGTGGATGGACCCACTTTCCATGTTTGTTTGTTTTCTTTTCGACCTAGAACTACTATACCAAAGCGCTTATTGAAGTAACATCATATATATAGAAAGAATACAACGTTTTACTTATAATCTGCTGGAAAAAATAGCCATTTAATTTATCATTTTCTCAAACTGTACTGGACTACTGGTACTCTACTAGTTATCATATCTTTATAATATTTGTAATTTGTACGGTACCTAAAGTATTTCTGTTATGCTACAAGGTCGTATATATAACGGCAACAGCACCCTATGTGTTCCTTACCATTATTTTCATCAAAGGATTAATGCTAGATGGCGCTTTAGATGGGATGGAAACTTTTCTTAAACCTGACTTCTCCAAACTTTTGACTTACCAGGTATTATGTGTTTTACTCTGAAATGTATTTCTCTAAGGCAGATATATTGTAATAATGAATTATTTTAAGACAGAAGGGAAATGTTTAATTGATTAGTTTAAACCAACATGTTCCAATATTTTCATCATCACTTCGTAAGATGCAAGGAGATTATTGAATGTGTTTATAATCATAACTTAAATAAGTGTCTTACTTCAAATGTCGATGATTTTAGTCATACTGATATTGGAAAATATGTATTTATGGTTGAAACATTATAAAAATTATGCTACTGTTATTGTATATACATGTATTTATATGTTTGATAAAGATAATGAGACGAATGAAAACCCACAGCAAAAGCTTGGTTTCAAGTTTCATTGACATAATGGCGAATATACTAATCAGATTTTGAAACCATTGTTTTGCACGATTAAAATATATGTTGCGGAAGTCATTGGTGTTTCTAATTTATTAAGGTCTGGGTAGATGCTGCAGTACAGGTGTTCTTCTCTCTAGGACCTTCTTGGGGCACTGTAATAACTATGTCCAGTTACAACAGATTCCATGACAAATCATTCTGGTAGTTATCACTTTCATACTTTATTTTTATTTCTGTCTTAATTTTATTTCAGTCTTTATTCATGTTTTAATGTTCGCCTTTTCAATGAAATGAGGAAAATTAATTATGATTTCATTGTAAGAAATCCGATGATTTGCAACACGTCTTTTAATTAATACGTGACTTTGACTTAAAAGATATTAATGTAATGGACATTTAATCACATTTTGCAATGTTTATTCAAATATCAAATTAATTTACAAATATTTTTATCGTTTAGGTTGTGATACTTTTCTAAACTAGAAACCGGTGTACCATAGAATCTCGAACCTCAATTACATTTGCAGATATCTTCCTGTATCTTGTACCGGGCGTTTACTAAGTTCCAGATTATTATGTTATAAACGTACTTTTCTATGCGCACCTGACAAGGCATCGCTTGGTAAATAATGGTAAGAACGCCAGATACGATTAATTAATAACACTGAAGGGACTAAAGAACACTGAGAACTTGACCTTTTTCTGATATATACATGACTGTATAAATTGTGTTATTTCAGGTCAACAACCCTATGTGTTTGTAGTGCAGGTTTTACATCATTTTACAATGGATTGGTAGTGTTCACATTGCTCGGGTTTATGGCCAAAACAACTGGGATACCACTACATGTAGTGGCATCGCAGTCAGGTATGTCATTAACACTTCCTTATACTTGTCATGCCTTTATTGTTTTATGAAATAAATGTATAACTGCTTCCTGCAATTGTCATTTAAAACTTTTAAAACTACAAACCTGCAGGTGAATAATAAACTGAGGATCACATCTGAAAACAGTTCCCAATTCCTGTATACGACATTCTATCTTTCTCAATAGCATGAATAATACATGTTAAAGGTTTCTGTATGTTAAAAACTTCATAAGAATATTTTAAATAATAGATGCCTACCAACTAGATAACTGTTCCAAGCATTGAATTCTTAAATCTTCAAAATGCCTTAACCCATTTGATGAAATGTGAGATATGAGATATGAACTAGGGCAAAATTAAAAAAGGCGTCTTCATGTTGAGATATTGTACAATTTTAGGTCCTGGGTTGGTGTTTGTCGTGTTTCCAACAGTTTTAAGTCAGATGCCAGTACCTCATCTATGGTCTGTCTTATTCTTTGCCATGTTAATCACCGTCGCTTTTGATAGCTTGGTAAGTCGTTACATATCACAATCATTCCTAGTTTTAGTCAATTCCAATTAAGGGGCGTCCGTGGTCGTTGACTTCAATCCACTTGTCCCCTCACTGCTGTAGATTCGGTCCAGCCAGGCCTAGGGCCTTTGAATTATTTCATGTGAGGATACTTTCAAGCTAGCTAACGGAACGTTAGTGGTTCTACTCAAATGCTCACTTGTGACCAGAATAATGCACGGAGGGCCACCTGAGGTCTCTTTCTACCAGTAACGCTTGAAAGTCGAATTATGACTACAGGAAGTCAATGTCAGCATTTAATATAATTTTGAAATTTCCTTATTATAATATTATTTCCGTAGGGCCATTGCCTTCTTTGTTATCTAGTTATGTGCATCGTTTAATTCATATTTCTTTATTCAGTTGTTATAGTGTAATACTTCACCATTTTCTCACCCCCACCCTCCTCCCCTCTCCCGATTTTTGTGATTTCGTAAATGATTTTTTCTACTTACTCTTTTGTTTCTACCGTTTCTTTACAAAGTTAAAACATGTATTGTATTTTCTTCCTTTACAATGTACTTTACAATGTACGTTTGAGGTTAATCTACTATACAGAAATATAAATATTGTTCTTGCGGAATACATGTGTTTAACAGTTTGATTTATTTTGTTTTTGTTTAGTTTGGTATGTTTGAGACAGTGACAAGTGCAGTCATTGATCTGTTCCCTCATCAGCTTATACGTCATAGGTCAGCTATCAACATCATTGGAGGCTTGATCTTCTTTATATGTGAGCTACCTCTTACAATGAACGTAAGTAAAACTGGTTATTTTATTTGGTTTAATGACACTCTGACACTAAAGTACACGAGCGGTCACCTGCACAGGATCGCCAATCTTGCATAAACTATATTTCATAGTAGAATTCTTCGTCTATATCAAAATGCTAGCATGAATCGGAAAGGGACAAAGTGACTCAAACTATTTTAAGCGCACTTTTAATTGCAGAAGTAATGTGTTATCAGACTATTTAATTTGTAGAAAATTTAGCTATGTACTAACTAGTGACATAGGTAACTAACTAACTAAGTGACTGACTGACTTTGACATAGAAATTCTTAGGCAAACTAACTAATTGTTGCAAAGGTAAACTAATTAATGACATACCGGTAGGTAAATTAACTAGTAGCATAGATATACTTACTAGCGGCATAGATATATTAACTTATAGCGCCAAAGCTAAACTAAATACTTATATAGTTTTATTTTCTTGTGGCATAGATTAACTAACTAGTGACACAGGTTAACTAACCAGTAACATAGGTTAACTAACTAGTGACATAGGTTAACTAACTAGTCGTATAGGTAAACTTCTTGGTGGCGTAGCTCAGGTAACTTGTGGCATAGATGAATTAACTAGTAGTAGCACAGGTAAACTAACTTGTGTCATAGGCCTGCTAGATAGTGGTATAGGTTAATTTTCTAGTGGCATAGATAAATTAACTGTTAGTAGTATCGGTAAACTAACTTGTGTCATAGGTCTGCTAGATAGTGGTATAGGTTAATTTTCTAGTGGCATAGTAAATCAACTAGTAGTAGCATAAGTAAACTAACTTGTGTCATAGGTCTGCTAGATAGTGGTATAGGTTAATTTTCTAGTGGCATAGTAAATCAACTAGTAGTAGCATAAGTAAACTAACTTGTGTCATAGGTCTGCTAGATAGTGGTATAGGTTAATTTTCTAGTGGCATAGTAAATCAACTAGTAGTAGCATAAGTAAACTAACTTGTGTCATAGGTCTGCTAGATAGTGGTATAGGTTAATTTTCTAGTGGCATAGATAAATCAACTAGTAGTAGCATAAGTAAACTAACTTGTGTCATAGGTCTGCTAGATAGTGGTATAGGTTAATTTTCTAGTGGCATAGTAAATCAACTAGTAGTAGCATAAGTAAACTAACTTGTGTCATAGGTCTGCTAGATAGTGGTATAGGTTAATTTTCTAGTGGCATAGATAAATCAACTAGTAGTAGCATAAGTAAACTAACTTGTGTCATAAGTCTGCTAGATAGTGGTATAGGTTAATTTTCTAGTGGCATAGATAAATCAACTAGTAGTAGCATAAGTAAACTAACTTGTGTCATAGGTCTGCTAGATAGTGGTATAGGTTAATTTTCTAGTGGCATAGATAAATCAACTAGTAGTAGCATAAGTAAACTAACTTGTGTCATAAGTCTGCTAGATAGTGGTATAGGTTAATTTTCTAGTGGCATAGATAAATCAACTAGTAGTAGCATAAGTAAACTAACTTGTGTCATAGGTCTGCTAGATAGTGGTATAGGTTAATTTTCTAGTGGCATAGTAAATCAACTAGTAGTAGCATAAGTAAACTAACTTGTGTCATAGGTCTGCTAGATAGTGGTATAGGTTAATTTTCTAGTGGCATAGATAAATCAACTAGTAGTAGCATAAGTAAACTAACTTGTGTCATAGGTCTGCTAGATAGTGGTATAGGTTAATTTTCTAGTGGCATAGATAAATTAACTGTTAGTAGCATAAGTAAACTAACTTGTGTCATAGGTCTGCTAGATAGTGGTATAGGTTAATTTTCTAGTGGCATAGATAAATCAACTAGTAGTAGCATAAGTAAACTAACTTGTGTCATAGGTCTGCTAGATAGTGGTATAGGTTAATTTTCTAGTGGCATAGATAAATCAACTAGTAGTAGCATAAGTAAACTAACTTGTGTCATAAGTCTGCTAGATAGTGGTATAGGTTAATTTTCTAGTGGCATAGATAAATCAACTAGTAGTAGCATAAGTAAACTACTAACTTGTGTCATAAGTCTGCTAGATAGTGGTATAGGTTAATTTTCTAGTGGCATAGATAAATCAACTAGTAGTAGCATAAGTAAACTAACTTGTGTCATAGGTCTGCTAGATAGTGGTATATGTTAATTTTCTAGTGGCATAGATAAATCAACTCTTAGTAGTATCGGTAAACTAACTTGTGTCATAAGTCTGCTAGATTGTGTCATAGATTAATTTTCTAGTGGCATAGATAAATTAACTAACTTGTGCCAAAGGTCTTCTAGAAAGTGGTATAGGATAATTTTCTAGTGACATAGATATAAAAATGTTTCCATAGATAAACTAATAAGTGGCATAGGTGAAGTAAGTAGTTGAATAGATAAATCAAATAGTAATATAATTAAGTCATTACTACCACCTGCACTGAACGAGGTAAATTGAAAATCAAACAACCTTTACTTTGTCTATATAGCATTACTTTGTCCTATATACCATTACTTTGTCTATGTACCATTACTTTGTCCTATATACCATTACTTTGTCTATATACCATTACTTTGTCTATATACCATTACTTTGTCTATATACCATTACTTTGTCCTATATACCATTACTTTGTCCTATATACCATTACTTTGTCTATATACCATTACTTTGTCCTATGTACCATTACTTTGTCCTATATACCATTACTTTGTCTATATACCATTACTTTGTCTATATACCATTACTTTGTCTATATACCATTACTTTGTCTATATACCATTACTTTGTCCTATATACCATTACTTTGTCTATATACCATTACTTTGTCCTATGAACCATTACTTTGTCCTATATACCATTACTTTGTCTATATACCATTACTTTGTCCTATGAACCATTACTTTGTCCTATATACCATTACTTTGTCTATATACCATTACTTCGTCCTATGAACCATTACTTTGTCCTATATACCATTACTTTGTCTATATACCATTACTTTTTCATAAGAGATTGCTAGAGACATAAGAGAAATTTAATCACTTTTATTATTTTCAGGGTGGTATATATCTGATGCAACTAGCTGATTGGTATTTTTCAGCTTTTGCTGTCCTGTTTAGTTCATTTTTCCAGCTTCTTGCAGTTTGTTGGCTCTATGGTATTTTACTCTCATAATTTTTGCTTTTTTTACTTAATAGTTAATGTTCCAGAACACGAGACAGAATTTCTTATGTTTTAATTGTAGCAGAATTACAAATATACTTTTTGATGACGTCAAAACATATAATTGCGTCAAACATTTTGTCTTTATTAATAGTGTTAGATATGATATATTCATTTCGTTCCTATTATAATTATTAATTATTCTAATCAAATAAGTACTAAATTTAAAGAAGAATACCATTTTTTTGCTATAATTTTTGTAACGAATGCAAATGTTCGTAATGGTTTTTTTTTAATCATTTGTTTAGGAACTGACAGATTTGCTCGTGACATTCACTACATGACCGGTAGAGATGTTTGTGTATTGTTACGTATAATGTGGACAATCGTCATTCCTAGCTTTGTATCGGTAAAACTATACAATTTTATTATTTAAAGTTCATGTCTATGATAATATTATCGTCCTGAATTTGGTAAATACATGTTTTTACAATGTCTTAAACAATTCCATACTTTAATTTTGAAATTTTAAGACTGTTAAAGACCATAACGTTCTGATGTGAATGTTCAATATTAATTATTTACATAGCAAATCACTCAGTGATGCTTTACCAATAAAGACATGTTTTCATTGTAAGTTTTGTTTTCTTTATTTTTAATGAGATCTTTTGTATTAAATGCCTTCCGACATATCGATTTAATTACTCATGTATTAAAACAATTGCTCGTAGGATTACATTAAAAGAGCAGATTTGTGATTAGATGTCCGGATTTTTAATTTTGAAGTTACATCAAATGTTCTCATTGTCAGGTAATTTTCTTCATCTTCCTGTTACAATACTCAGCGCCATCTTACGGTGATGGATATGTTTACAGTTCAGGGGCGATAGCTGCGGGAATATTCATGGGTCTAGTCCCTATCATAGTAATGGTAGGGGTTGGAATATTCACGTTTATCCGGTTAAAGGGCTCGTGTTTACAGGTATACGTAATGTTTATTTAATTAGTACATTTTAGAGTCATATATCCTTTTGAAGAGTATTGGAGTTTCATAATGACTGAACTAAAACGGAATACTATATCCGAAATTAACGCCATTTAATCGATTATGTTTTAATGCATTCTGTCTCATACGCAGGCAAATTAATGACAAAAATATCAAAATGACCTCATGAACTCAAATCAGGCTAAAATGACATTTTTTAAAAACCCAGCATGAATTTCTGTACAAAATTTTATATATTTTGGGTTTGAAGCAAAAATATATTTATTTATGTTTAAAGTTCTCCCAATCAACCTGGCATTTGTTTGTTTTAAAGCCGGTCTAAAAGCGCATTGCGGTGCTAAGTTTTCATTTTTCATAAGTTTTGTCATTTCATAATATGAGTCGGAACCATGTTGAATAACGATCATAAATCCATAGTTATAGTATATGTACGAGTATATTACAATTCTGTTTTCAGAGATTAAAGACCGGCTGTAGTCCTAGTGAAAAGTGGTGCCCTCACGACCATGAAACAAAAGATATATACCTCAAAGAGTCATACGTTTACCCAGCCACGAAATGGAAAACATTTTGTCTGAACATTCGAGGCTCGGACAAAAATACATTCTTCTAATGTTGTTCAGATGTTTTTGAATAATTATTATATTACAATTTGGTGCTTAGCGAAATAGATATCCAAACACATACTCATCCTGTTTGCAACATACTTCTTGCGCTAACTACTCGTCTGTTTTTATATTTGGTCTTTTTGACTATATTTCTTTATTGTATTTTAACTTTGTGCTATTGTAAATGAATTTCAGGTACTGTTAGTGATAAACAATGGTTTTACATTGTTTAATTATATCTGATTATACTAAAGTAAGGCACTGATGTGTTTTGGACATGTAGACAAGAGGTGTAAGATTTAAGTTATTAAGATACTTACCATCTCGACAGATAATTATTTATATTGTATAAGATGGTAAAGAATAAAGCTGCTTTAAACATGTATATTAATGTATTTTTCAAGCTTAAAGACAGGATTATCCATACCGATTCAATTCACACTCAGTCGCTTAAAACGGTTGAATTTGTCGAGCAAACAAGCGTTATTTTTCGGCGACGATAAAAGATGAATTTTGATTTTTACACTCAGAGAGAACAAAGAAGAAACTGGTGTTCAAGTCAAATTGAAGAAACTGCTGTGTGATGACGAAAATTGCATAATGGAGCGAATTGGTGTGATGTTTACATATAAATAAAAGGCTCCGGCCTACTCAACTTGAAGTACTGCACTAAATCACTGTATACTGGTTGCGAAAAGAGATGTGAATGTTGTTAAAAGAGATGTGAATGTTGTTAAAAGAGATGTAAATGTTGTTAAAAGAGATGTAAATGTTGTTAAAAGAGATGTAAATGTTGTTAAAAGAGATGTAAATGTTGTTAAAAGAGATGTGAATGTTTATAAAAGAGATGTAAATGTTGTTAAAAGAGATGTAAATGTTGTTAAAAGAGATGTAAATGTTGTTGAACTAATACCATCTGAGTGTATTTCTTGCAAGTGTAAAATCACGGGCAAAATAAAACTGCTGTGGTAATATGTACATGAACATGTATTTACGGCTATCAATTCGGTTTTCTTGTTGGGTAGTATCGGGTAAAAAAAAAACTTTATATATTTGTTACAACAAGTTGAACCATGCTTATTTTTTATGAGAAATAAAAAGTAGTCAATGTGATTCTTTTCTCCTGTTTTAGTGTAAGCGGTTCAACGTAATTATACAGTTTTCAGTAGTATATATTTTGTTCTGAAACATGCCAGATTGTATCGGGCATATAAAAAAATACATTTGTTTTTTTTTTCTTAAAGAAAAATAAATCAACTTAAAGAGATACGTAAAGTATAAAAGGCTAATTGCATTTTTTAATAATAATGATGTAAATTAATTGAAGACTGTGTATGTTCCAATTTGTATACAGTTCCAAAGAGCACTCGTGTTAATTAACATGTACTTTCTTATCGTATCTAATTGAAAAGCAAATGATATCATTAAAACCATATAACAGGTATTTCCTCTTATCCACATTAAATACAATGTATGCATGGAAATAAACAAATTAAAAACGACAATAAAGATCAACGAGGCAAAGGCAAAGTTGACAGGACGCAGCCCCCGACACACCATAGCAGGGCATCAAGAAGGCAATGAAAAAATAGTATGCAAACATGCACTTAAACTGTAACTACATAATTCTATGTGTAAGCTTCTCTAACACGAAATTCTTTTAGATCAAGTTGCCGCTGTATATATGAATCAGACGCTAGACAAGCTCGGAAACAGCTTCTACATTTATACGGACAACTCTGTTCACAACTATTTGTCCGTTTATTCTGTAGTAGTGATCGAAGTTGTGTCCCTTTATTTCCGTCACCACTTAAATTACCATCAAGTGTACATAAGTTCTGTTGTTTTCTATGATAACTTTTTCTAGTTTTCCAGAACAAAGGTAGATGGAAATTTTGTCGTCTATCACTATATGTGTCAGGCGATGAGTAGAATGCACCAGGAGGTGCAGATTTTGCTCTGAATGCCCTGTGTGGTGGGACATCTTTACAACATTTATCTTCGGTCGGGTTCTCTTTAAGCGAATCTTCGTCATGTTGTCGGATATTTGTAGACACATACCTCGATATTGACATTACTTTTAGAGATTTTTCAACGAATTCAAAATTATCTTTGGATTTATCACATTTCTTAACATTATATCTTGCAAAAGCTGTGCGCGGGCGTCCAGTGACATACGTTTTTCTAGATAATTCTCTTTCATCATTTCGTTGCTGTGAAATGAAACGATGAGATATTGGAAACTGGTCTTTTAATTTTCTTCCATCTTTAGTTTCCTCCAAATTATCTTCAAGTACTTGAAGTCGGTGTAATTGGACGCCTGTAACAACCTCGTGCGTATCTAAAGTTTCTTCTTTGCTGACTGTGCGAGTTCTGCCGAGAATGTTGGAAGCACTTTTAGCCCTCTCTTTCAATGTAACTGCTAACTTTTGTGGTATTTTTGACTTGCAAGTTTTGTCTTCAGATCTAGGTGATCTTCCAATATTAGTCGCCCACATGTTGGCATTTACTTTACTCATTTTTTAAATATTTATATATAGTATACAACCATACATATACCGTATACAATATGGATTTCAACACTCTTCTTTATTCCTTGTTAAAGTAAGAAGTAAGGGCACAAATTCAATTTAATTTACCATTTCCATGTCAACAGACATTTTAAATTGAATAAAAACGTATATTGTCACGGGTTATATTAATATTATAAAACATTTATATATATGCTTATATCCATAGACACTGTCTGTCATTATTTACTTATTCACTTTATAATAGCATGTACACATATAGTCATGTAAGTCACGTCAGATCAATGTTCCTTTGTTAATAATTTATTATTTAGAGTATACGTTTTCTTTTAACACTAGCTTTAGCTACAATATCCTTTACAGAATGCGACATTTCCTCGTGTACAGTACACGCATAGTTTCAAATACAATATGTCCAAAATTTAAGTGGCTAAATTATATTTCATAAATGAAATAATCAAGTATCACTGTCAAGATAACTTTTAAACACAAATTACAGTCTGAATTGTAGTAAATCGTGCTGTCAAATGAATTTATTTCCAACGTTTTGATATGGTAATTGATAAATATCAATCTAATATATAAATTACATTTGTTTTAATAAATATGAAATGTTTATAACATCAGCGTCTTAGAAGTTCAATAATATTATAACTTTCAAGTCTTTGATAACTTGTTATTTTATTCTGGTATTTGTGTTGGCAACAAACATCTTAGCTATGGCAGTGATAAATAAACTAGAAACATTATTTGTTAATCGCTCTCTAAATTGAACCACTCGGGATAAACCAATTATGAACGTTTTTAACATGTTCCTATTGGCCGTTCAATTGATTTATTCTTCAAATCTGAATTGACTCCATTACAGTAACAACTTCTGGAAACAATTACACTTCTATGATAGTTCGATATATCCGATCAATAGTTAATATCAAATTCCGCCAGTCTTACAAACTACCTTTAATTACGCATGAATAACCATCCATGCAGATGTTTTCTAAGGAAATAAAATGTTCAATGCATCTGTAGAATGGTATGGGGAAAGATAACGTAATAATATAGTTACAGTATTAGTATATGCATTTAAAAGTGCGAATTCTTTAAAATTTAGTCGCAGCTTGACAATTTTCAAATGCGAGACGTGTAGAGCTCGCTGTAGGCCTGTGAACTCATGCCGTGACGATATACTAATGCTTGGTGTTTTGGCAATTAACCTAGTGGTTATAAAACTTTTAAATTCAATAGAGTAATTAGTTATTATATCGAGTCATATACTGAAATTTCAGATGTAAATGTTTATTTCAAAGCTTATATCGAATAATAAATGTGGAAAAATATAACTAGAATAAGCGCAAGGAATAATTTATTTAGAGGGGCTAAGATATTTATTTCTACTTTGAAGAATATTGTGATAGGTAAAAGATTAGTTAATTTAGGACGCCCAATAATCAATCATCTGCATTGGAAATAAAGCTGCATGTTCAGTTTAAGAATGTTTATGTCTTGTGATGCTTAGTAATTATTCAGATAAATAGATGTTAATATAGATTGGTATAGTATTTACGTTTAAGTACTTTGTCGTTATCCTTTAAGAAATACATTTTGAATGGAATGTAAACATGTAAACTTTTGTCCTTAAGTTTCAGTAATGAAAATTGAAATGATTCTTCCAGAACACAGATTCCTGAACTAAAGTATGCTTTTGCAAATGAAACACATTATCGCATTAAAGTTTTAATCGAGTACGAACGCTATTTTATGTTTAGGAAAAAATAAAACGCATGTATAATTAATCACAAGTAAATATTATATTTTATGCTTTTAATTATGATGTTTTAAAAAATTCATATGAATGAATAAAGTGAAACCCATACATTTAATAAATAATGTTAAGCTTGTCTAATCCGGGTAGATTTTCTGTGTTTATGTAGTTTACAGTTTTCAAACATGCACATAGACTCCGTATGGAAGTCTTTATCTGTTTCTAATGATATCAAAGTTGGTATGTCATTTAATATATCTTTAACCTCCTTGTCTTCAATACCTGATTTCACTCTCAGATATTGTTTTTTCTTCTTTTTGTTATCATATTTATTCTTTTTCTTATTTTTTGCTTTATCCTCTTCAAAAGTTTTAAGTTTCAAGTCTTCAATTGCAGGGAAGGTAACTCCTTCCTTTCCTTTTCGATTTAGTTCTTCTGGAGTAGCTCCCCTTGAATTGCCATCTTGGATATGAGGCAGAAATAAATGGAGTTCGGAATGCGAGTCTAATTTCTTAAAGTCTACTTTGAATTCTTGCTGTTGTTTTTTGCTTTTGGCAGGTTTCTTTGGTAATGGCGGAGTTGGTGGTGAGTCATATGTTGGACTTGGAGATTTCTTCTCCACCACTGACACAGATAAAGCATTCTGAATAACATAATCCTTCGTCTTTTTTGCTGGTTCTATGTTGCGCACTTCCGGTTTAAGTTCATAATTCTTTTGTAACGGAACATCGTTCGTAGCGGGTACAGAGCCCGTGTAACTAGTTCGGGTACTTACTTGGTCTGATTTGACATGCCTTAATACAGAAGCTTGTTTATAAGGTAATATCTCACTTTGAGTGTCAAAGAAGTCACGAACACTTGCATTATCTTCCAACTCCGAATCCTGACCCGCGATATTTTGTAGTTTTTCGTTGGCCTCTATAAGTCTTTGAAAAGTTGGCGACTGACTCCTTTGATGGAAGCCATATTTTGAGGGTGCTATCGTTTTAAGTTTCTCTTTCTGAAATTTCCACCGATATTGCATTGGTTTAACTAAGTCAGAAAAGAAGCGGATATCCGATGCGTTATCTACTTCTTCTATTGTAATTCTGTTTCTTCGAGCAACCATTGATGATGTTGCTATTGTAGGATACCCGGACTTCAGTTGTGATTCTGCGTCGAGTAAGACGGCATTGGCAGCTTTATCATCAAATACAGCAATATCTCCAGGAATAAGGTTTCCACCCAAAGGTTTAGTTGGTCCATCTATCGGAATAACCGATTGTCTGAAAATAAATAAATAAAATGTCGTTATATATTAAGATAACAAAATGTACAGAACTTGATGCAACCATGGAAAGGCGGTCACAAGCATGGAATGAGTTTTCAATTAAGAGCACAGTATGCCTCAGAAATCCATATTTTTGATTCTTTAGAAATGTCAAACATGTGTTAAATAATGTTTTAATAATACATTTAGAGAATGTTAAAATGAATGTTAAAAATGTTTAAATACTGAAGGAAGTAGCGATGTAAAGGTATCAAAATGTAAACAAAGTATTTTTTTCCCACTGCTACTCAATCATAATAATTAAACCAATTACTGACAGAGCAACGCAGGAAAAGAAAGTTCGTGTATATGGAAAATTAGTATAATTTTGGAAACTGTATCAAGATACAAAAACGTTTTTGAGAAAACAAAAATGACAGTATTTCTGAGTCATAATGGGCCTTTATATCCCCGTACCTTTCATTTTTACCGCTATAAAATTAAAATTTTATCATTGCATCTACTACATAAATGCTATATTTATGATTGAAATGATCAGTTATATGTTGTAGAGAGTCTCATTAAAATATGAAGTTAGTTATAAATAACTACGTTTTTATGCTGATTTTAATAAAGACCATGTTACCTGCATATAAATATAAATCATAAAACAAATAAGTGAAAGATTTGTTTCATAAATATCAATATCACATTCAAATAAAAAGTATTTCATACTAGCACAAATCCAAAATTTTGAACATTTTTAATTGAATAAATTTATATTCCATAAAATGTAAGAACAATTTACAGTAAGTTTCCAAAGACAACCACATCTCATCTATATCGAATGGTCTACCAACAGCTGATTACTAAACACCCTTCTATAGGTCTTGTACACAGCTTAATATCATTTCAGTTGCTTTAGCAATACCTTAATGCCATCCAAGTATTTTTATATAGGATTGTGTCAAATAGGATTACAAGTTTAGAGAAATAAGGTGTATCTAAATTATTTATGGCTCAATTGTCCACCTGATGAAAACGTTTTTGTATCATTTTGTAGTAAGTTTATTGAACCTTTTAATAGAAGATGAAACATTTCATGAATAAGAAATCACTATTTTGTATTCTAATATGCGTTCATATAACATGGTCGTTATATTTCGTACAATAAAAGTAGCTTATAGCGATTTAAAAACTGTCATTTGCTATATTCATCAAAGAGATTTATTGCTTTCATATTGCATAAAACTTGTGAATAAACTTTAATTTACTTTTGAGTTTAATCTTTATCTTTACAAAGAGCCTCCTAAAAGAGGTTACTAAATAGTTAAAATCAGTTATCTAAATCATCCTTTACGTGATTTATGTTAATTGACCCCTGTTGAAAAAAAAACAACAACAATATTTAGTAGATCTTTCCGTATAATATTCATATTCTTTCGGTGAAGTTTAGATATTCTTCCGGTGAAATAAACATATTTTTTCTGTATAATATATATATTCTGTCGGTGAAATATACACATTCTTTGTATATAATATACATATTCTTTCTGATGGCATACAAATTCTTTGTGTATAATTTACATATTCTTCCTGTATAACATACATATTCTTTCTCATGGCATACGTATTCTTTGTGTATAATATACATACATTTCGGTAAAATATACATATTCTTTCTGTTAGTATACATATTCTTTTAGTGAAATATACATACATGTATTGTTTATCTATAATATACATATTTTTTGTATAATATAAATGCTCTACTAATGTTTAAATACATTTGTGCATTTAAAATGACAACATAATTATTCTATATTTTGAATTATTGATATATTTAGATACACGTATTTTGGTTCACAAAATTTATAGATGATATAGTTGTCTTAACACTATTTCGCTTAAAAGTATTATTTTATTTTATGATTTTGATCCGTGTGATAAAAGAGAATAATTATTAAATAATATCCTGACAAGTAAATATTTGAATGATGAAAGTATTTGAATGATGAAAACATGTATGAATGTGGCAAAGTAATGTTACGCCTAGCGTTTAAATCACAATATATACAAAACGAAACAGTATAATATATTGCACACCTCACCTCACTTTACATAATTTACAATACTATTTGGGATAATACATGAGAGGTGAGTGGAATAAAATAAAAACGAAAAAACGATTCCTAAATTCAACATTCATATTGCTTATTTCTAATTAGGACAAACTAATCATATTCTTTATACATTTGTAAAATAGGACATTAAAAAGATTATCTTATTCGTTTAGAACAGTACTTACGGTTCTTCAACTATATGTAGTAGGGGCCAATTCATCCGCGAACTTTTTGTAGACTTTATATTCTCAACTTTTAAATTTTGCATTATTTTTAACAAATATTGTTTGATATTTAAGCTATGGGTAAAAACACCAATTTAAAGAATGTTCCTTGGAAAAAATACAACAACAGCAGTGTCAGCAACACGCACTAGATTCGATTAATAAAATCCTTCTTAAAATTGTAAAACAGATATGATAATCAAAATAGCTATAAAGTTTGCATTACTATATTATTTTGAAACCATTTCAAATAATAAATATAAGATATTTTCCACTTTCATCTTTGCAAACAAGGTTTGAAGAAAAGGCTTTCTGTACGTACAACATGTCAGAAAAAACACTGTCGATTGAAAAAAAAATCACAAAATTCGTTGTTTTTTTATTTGACACACAGGTTATTTTCTGCAAATATATCGCTCAAAAAGTGTCATAACTTGTATCAGAGTGTGCAATCTGTGTTTCGTGATAATCGCTATGTGACAGGCAATTAAACAAACCGTTCTTCTGTCTTTGTTGAGCATTTTATCGCTGTTTCGATTGATTAGTTTATTAAGGAAACCATAAAAGTAGCATTCTCTTAAAAAGTCTTAATTAAAAACAATGTTTTGAAAGAGTGTTATATGAGCCGCGTCACGACAAAACCAACGTAATGCGTTTGCGACCAGCATGGATCCAGACCAGCCTGCGCATCCGCGCAGTCTGATCAGGATCCATGCTGTTCGCTTACCAATTCTATTACAAGTAGAGAAACTGATAGCGAACAGCATGGATCCTGATCAGACTGCGCGGATGCGCAGGCTGGTCTGGATCCATGCTGGTCGCAAACCCACTATGTTGGTTTTGTCGTGACGCGGCTCATATTTCGTTTTGAACTTGAAAGACCTTTGACGCGAGATATAACAGAGTCGGTGTTATATTATAATATTGTCGTCTGCGCACAATGTTGGCGTTAACTTATGGGTGTTTAATTATCGTTAATCTCCTCAAATACAAAAGACAGGTTAAAGGTCAGTGTAATCTCATACCATAGTTATTTGTTATTGTCATATTTGTACTCTCTTCACTATGACAAATTAAAGTAGAGTAATTAACGAAGATCCGTAATATTTTGTATGTAGAATATATCTATGAAATAACAAAATAGAACAGAACAGAACATATTTTATTATTCAATGGGTGGGAAATAACAAAAGGGGAATAACCGGTGGGAAAGTAATAGGAGGACAATTATCAAACTCCTCACAGTGATTACCTCCCTTGGCAGAATTGTAATCACTGCCTTCAAAGACGTCACATGATGATGAAAGTCACATGACGTAACGTCGAAATTCAAATGTAAATATCGACCGTTACAAAGAAAATCTAACCTTATTTTTCACTTTCTGTTTTATTTTTAACTTTTAGTGCCTACGTTCGATACAGTTTATCAAAAAATTATCGAAAGTATACAAAATAACGAAAAATAAATTCAAAACCTAAAAAATATAAAATATCAAAATATCGTCTCGGTAGAAAATAATCTCATAATTTTTAAAATTATTTCTAAATATTCATATTATTTATTTATTTATTCATAAACATTGTTAAATAAATGAGAGAAAACTTATCTGATAGATAAAAGCAGTAGATAAAACAATTTTTGAAAAAATATAGTATATCAGAAATTCTGATATATTGGGACCTTGGTGGCAGAGATCTACGCCGAAGAATTAAGGGGAGATCACTGCGTGGAGATTGGACAATTATGTGTTGGGAAAATAACAGGGTCGGGAATTGACCGGTGGGTAGATAACAGGAGGGGCATTGTCCGGAGGGAAAATAACTTACGGGATATTGTCCAGAGTGAAATCCAGGAAGGGAATTTCTAATATTTCATTTGAATCAAAATTCATAATATTTAAACAAACAGTTACTTTGTATTCAATATTTTTTCTAAATAAACACACGGATTTATTGTAATATAAATCCGTGATAAACAACATGAGACTCTTTGTAAAAATACATCTGAATTAAAAGTAATCACAAGGTATCTCTTTATTCTAGATTAGCCAACTATTAAAGTACGAAACCTCTTTATATAATCAAAATCTCCACAATTTTATTCTAACCCTTAGTACGTGACAGATAGGTACATTTATTTCACACCTTATGAAATAAAACGAATGCATTTTCAGCATTAACACCACGTGTTGTTCCAATAGATACAAGAAAAGCATTGATGCAAAACATCAAAGGGCGTCCAAGCAAGAAATGCAGAAAGTGAAGATGAACTAGTAGACATATGATGTCAAGATATTCTTATAAACTTTTCAATGGTTAATTGGTTTTTACCAAAATGAACGGACGGAAGACATTGTTCATTATGAACTTTGATTGGCATGCTAGAGATTAGAATATTACATTGTACTTGTTATTTCTTTATGATCGTGATTATTAATAGCAACGGATATACATGTATACAATCATTTATAATCCATACCCATGTGTAACGCATGATCAACACCACACTTGTGGAATTGTCCCTTATTATGTAATCGCTATTAGCGAAGACCCACTCTTAAGGTATCTGTTTACACTTAATAAAAATATGACACTGGTTATATTACCATGTCATGTTGAGCATTATTGTTTATTATCCAATAATTGTAATATCTATTTTAATAACAAAAATACAGATTTTATGAATATTGTTTTCCTCTCTTTTTTGGGTTTTTATGTGCTATTTTAATACTCAGTTTTTCACGTTTACTACTCTTTTTTATTAAAATTGTAAAATAAATTTTAAGAATTCAAATGTCATATTGACCGACGATTATAAGTCAAAATTTAACTGGAAAAAGTCAGTAAATTATGGTTAATCTTTCAATATATAATATTGTTTATTCTTAAACCATGTACATGTACATTTGTATTTTTCTTTATCATGTTTTAAATTATCAATCAATTAAATAATAAATAAAATCTAATTTGTAACTTTGAATAATTCCTCGGCATCTTTACTAAACACGAATAACAAATTAAATAAAATGTTTCAAAGTTGATAGTGTCATATTAAAACCATAAAAATGTACCTTTTTTCACAATTATTGTACATATTTATTGTTTTTATCTCATATAGATATAATGAAACATGCTATTGTTGTTGTTGTTTTTTTTTTTTCGAATTGTATGTTTATGTATAATAATAATCAATAAATTTGAGAGTTGATCTATGTTTATTAATTATTGTAACCAAACTAAGTGACAAACATTCATTTTGGAAAAAAGCTTATTTATCTGTAAAATATTTGTTCTGTTCTGTAACGATATCAAACATCTACTCCAAAACCGGGAGAGACCGGACAATAAACGTGTGATACTTTTCGCCGGTCACTAGTATCACGGTCATAATAGACCGGAGAGACCGGAATTACCGATAGGAGTACATTCCTCTATAAATAGATTTTCGGAATATTTAGGTCATCAACTCATCATTCTATTTTAACGTACCATGATAACCCACTGTGTACTACAAAATGATAAATAAAAAACCGAAGAGACAGAAAAGGTTATTGCATTTGAAAATGTTTGCATTGCAAAATCCTCCAGTTCGCTATTCATTGTACATATCGCGACATTTCATTTTTAATTAATAATAATCAAGCACCCTCATACCGATCGGAATGATCGGCTTTTATTTTAAATAATATTATGACCGACTAAAAGGCTCGAGAAGTTACTGTCGCCCTTTCTCATTCCATAAAGGGGCGCCGCGCTTCGGCGCGGACGCCAATCATTTTTGGGATCCAATCTTATTAATTTAGCCTAGTTTTCATTTCCATAGTCCAAAACGTCCATATCAAATCCATATCACACTCCTTATAGCCAGAAGCAAAAAGGATCATATCAAATCCAATTAAAACCACATATAGCCTCCTTGTCTAAGAGGTTTATATCACATCAATATCGCACCCCATCTAGCCTCGGTTTCATTTCTTGAGTCAAAATTACATATCACATCTTTATTGTAATTAAAGTAAAAAAAATCTGTCAATATGTCAAAAATGATGGAGTAAAACAAAGAGGTTATTAAACATGGCTGAGATAATTACTGATTTTATTGGATAAGTACACAGTTGCAAAACCTATATCAGACTCGGCTAGCACCACGTCCAATATAGTTTTACAGCTGTGTACTCGTCCAATATAATCCAGTATTGTACTCAACAATGTTAAATATCTCATAGTAGAAATCTAAAACTAGAGCGGATTATGTTGTGCGTTCTTAATCTTAAACATGAACATAATTATATGACTTTAAAATAATAAAAATGTTCAAACTTCACATTTTGTTCAATACATGAAGTTTTTTATGTTACAATTTCTTTTCATTTCCATCATATTTAATATTCACATGAATGTACGATGAATAATGATCAAATTGATGAAATGCCAAAGACCTCGAGAAACTTTCTTATACAATTTATCTTAGAAAAAAGACATAATTTACAGAATGCGCAGCTGTTTCTGTAATGAAAAGATATCATTTTTTGCATCATGCACTGCACAAACTGTCTTTATTGCTTAAAACTAATTTCCTGTGTCCGACATTTCAACAATATATTTAGAGATGAACCTGTTATTGACATGCAAATGAGCCGCGTCACGACAAAACCAACATAATGGGTTTACGACCAGCATGGATCCAGACCAGCCTGCGCATCCGCGCAGTCTGATCAGGATCCATGCTGTTCGCTTACAAATCCTATTACAAGTAGAGAAACTGCTAGTAGCGAACAGCATGGATCCTGATCAGACTGCGCGGATGCGCAGGCTGGTCTGGATTCATGCTGGTCGCAAACTCATTATGTTGGTTTTGTCATGACACGGCTCAAATGATTGTTGAGTACATTATCGCAGTATAAAACGACTGTGTTATAAAACGGAATGATAGCATCACATTTCACGTTTTTCAAAGTTGTACAGTATAATTTTACTAGACGGTAAGGAAACGACCAAAAGTAATCTGGTCCGGGTTGATTTTGTGAAAATGTTGTAAATGAGCTGTTAAACACGTGGCGGCAGCAATTGAAAGCTATGGAACAGCAAATTAAATACCAATTTGAACTGAATAAATTCTCGCATTTGAAACGTAAAAAATAGACCAGTCAGTTTTCCGATAGCTAGTGAGTTAAGAAACATGGGGGGAAATCCAATTCTGAAAATAGAAAATATAAATATCAGATTCAAATTGATTGAAATCATGTCACCTCTTTCTTATTTTGATTTCATATAAATTGTAGAATATTTAAACGATGATGAATACATTTATTGTTATCAGCGATGATGAAAACCTTTTCATTAACAATTGTTAAAAAATCTATCAGATAAAACACACATCATACAAAGCAAAAACATTAAAATACAATTTTAAATCTAAATTCAGTATTGAACAAAACCCCTGGAGAAAATTAACAACTTATCACGAGAATGGATGAAAATATCGGACT